AGCTATGAAGTTAGTAAAGTAGTACAGTATGCACTACAGTTAGGATTTAATACGGCATCTTTATATTTGTTTATCTTTCTGCAATGTCTGTGTGTATAAGTTTTCATTAATTTTAACTTTTTTATAATTTGTGTGTATTTTATGGTAGTAAATGATAAAGTAGACTAGTATCTACATATATTTTAGGCATTCATAACATACCTAACTTCTCAATTTTTTCAGTATTTCTAGGCTACATGGTTTGCTGGTGAAGATTTTCAAACTGTTGTAAATCTCAAAGGTTTTTCAATTTTCTTAATTGAAAAAAAAAATCTATGTAAGTGGATACATACAGTTCAAATTTGTGTTGTTTGAAGGTCAACTGTGAAAGCATTAAAAGAAGTGATCTGAAGCCAGTTTCGCAGGAAGAGAGCTGTCAGTATAGATGAACAGATACATTTTAGTGAAATGAGGCTGCTATGAGTTTCCAAAACTCATGTTAAAACTGTGTCCCCAGTGTGGTAGTATTGAGATGTGGGGCCTTTGGGGGTGATTAGATCATGTGGGCTGTGCCTTCGTGAATGGATGAATCAATTCATATGTTAATGGATTAATGTGATCAAGGTAGGAGAGCTGGTGGTATTACAAGTAGAGGAAGAGGGCATTGAGCTAGCGTGGTCAGCAGACTGCACTGTCTCAGGAATCTTAAGAACCTTCTTGCTGGTGAGGATTCTTAGCAAATGCAGCCTCTTGACCTTGGATTTCTCAGCCTCTATAATTGTAAGAAATACATTTCTTTCTTACTCCTTAGTTTCAGGTATTCTGTTATAAGCAACAGAAAATGGACTAAGAGGCCTATGGCTATCTCAGGCTGTCTGGGGTCCTCAGAGACAAAGGGAGTGGGTGAAAGGATTAGAGTCACATTTCTGGAGAACCTAGTCCAATTTTCCTTTCCTTAGTACTTCGAGACCTCTCCCACTCTGGAGACCTCTCAGTTCTCCCAAGTTGCACTCTGCATTTTTCTGTTTATGATACCATTTTCAGGGCCAAGGACAATACCACAGGATCTGGGCACTATTGCAAGTGATAAACATAAGGATGACAAGCTGATAGCTCCCAGAGCCTCTGTAGCAGGAGCAGCAGCAAGAAAACTACCAAGCCTCAGGGCACTGAAAAGGGTCCAGAATCCAATACCAGCAGGTAACCAAAAGTCCTTTGTCTTTTGGTTTACATTATGCCCATGGCTGAGAGTCATCAGGCCATAGGGCCCAAGTACAAATGGGAGGTTGAAGTGCAATGGAAAATTGATATATACAGGCCAGGGTGACAGGCCCAGTGTAGGTTATTAGGCTGGATTTGCCCCAGGATTGAAAACTTAGGGCCATAGCCCATGACACACAATTTTTTTTATGCCAAAGATCAGGTGTCCTCAGTTCGTAATATAGAAACAATATGGGTTTGGGAGTCATATCTGAATTCAAGTCTAGCCTGTATAACACTTTGAGAAGCCACTGAACTTCTCTGAGCCTGTTTCCCATATTGAAAAATGAAGATAGCATTGCCTGGTTTGTATGAGTAGCTGATGTGAAGATTAGGTGGGTATATAAATGCATTGTAATACATAAAGAAGGTCCCAATTAAATAAAGGCTGTTATTATTAAGAGGTACTCAATAAATATTTGAATGGGTAATGTAGCTAAATGGAAAACTGGCTGTGTTAGGGTTGACCTGGCAAAAGCAAAACCAAAAAGAAGCACACATAAGAAATAACCCCTGGTGGTTAGCATTGATGTTGATGTGCCTCATTCAACCTGGTACCCTAGTGAGACCAATTCTGGGCAGATCCCAGAGGATGCACAAACTAGAAGGTTGTAGTGTTGTGTTAGAGGAAAATGTTCCAGTTGGAAACTTTCTCCTTTCATACTCGCAGGCAACAAAGGATTCCTTTCCAGGTAAAGAGGAAGAAAAGCTACACATAAGCATCATAGATTCTCTATTTGTTGATTCCAAACTAGGTACTGTCCCTTTATTTGTCCAGTAACTGAGTAAGGATAACGTCACAAACACTGGAGACTCAGGTGCCCAGGCCCCAGTTTACCAAATTCTGTTCTGGAAAGAATAGAGCTGTAGTTTTAATTTGTAGAGATACAAATTGCAGTATTCACTGTTTCCTCTTTTCATCTCACTTTTTCTATCTGAAATGCTTACACTTGAATGAATGGAAAAGATTATATTAGTCTTTAAAATTCTTGACAAAGTCCTCTGTTCTAGGTGGCTTGATAAGTGTTAGCTCTGTCAACAAGGCTGCTCAACTGGTGTGGGGGCATGCCTGCCAGAGGTGGCCCACAGTGCTATTTCTCAGGCTGGACATAGACCACCCCCCCCAGGCTGGCTGAGCAGCTGTTTGTCTATCTGCTGGAGTTGGTCCACAGGGTTGTTTCTTAGGTTTGGCACACAGGTACAAAGCTCTACTTAGAGTGTTACGCTTCAGGTGGGGGAAGCTGAAGGTGGTGGGAGGTGGCACAGGGTAAATTAAGGTGAAAGCTGACTGTTACTGTGTCATTATGTGGTACGTCTATCAGAAGACTATGAAGATATGGGGTGTCTGAGGAAGGAGAAGGGGGCCCTCACACGTGGATCTTTGGCTCCAAACAGCTGCATATGGAAGACTCTGAACACCTGGTTGCAGTGCTGGTCTGAGGTAAGCCCTGAGCCTGGATTCCATCTGTCATGTTTTACTGAGCTCGTATCCCAAAGACTCAGCAATTGTGCCCACATAAGAAACATGCCTTTCACAATTTTGAAACCTCTAAGTGCCCTGTTAATTGGCAGTTCACTCATTCCCATAACCAAAAACAGAAAAAAGAAGCCAAAACCAAAAAATCACAGAACTTCACGTGTTGTAACTAAAAACACTCAATAAACAAAGCTAGTCCTTGGGATCCCTTGGGGAGTAATTGTCTAAGCATGCTTCTTTCTTTCAGCTGGTGAGACAGACAGACGTGCTAAGACTGTATGGAGCTCATCTTGAAAACATTAATTTTTCCAAACACTTCTGTGCAGCTCATGTGCTTTTCCTGAGCAAGTGGCAGCAGGCAGTGAGGAGGCTGCTGAGGACACCGCTCCATGCTGGTCTGACTGTAGCAGCAACAGGGATTCAGAGGAAGTGGTCATGCTAAAGCTTGGGGGAAAGTTGGGAATTTGGAAGGCAGAGGCCAAGGCCCAGGCACCATGACCTGTCACAGGGATGGGCTGCACAATGCTTGTGCACTAATGGATTGGATTACCACTTACAAACTGGAAGAAAAGAAAGGAGAACCAATACCTTAACTCCCTTTGAGGCCCATTCCCTTGGAGCCAAGTTGGGAATCAACCAAACTATTCTTCCTCACAACCTGTAGCTCCAACAACCACACACAGTGGCCAAGCACCAGGAGAGGTGGGAAATTTCTGGGTGTTGGTCTTTAAACCATTTTCCCTTCTTTTTCTCCTCAATTAGGAATGGGAATCTACCGTGGAGAATGTGATTTCGTCATCTACAGTTAAATTGTTGTTTGAGCCCCAAGTCCCTTCTCACTAAGGGGTCAAGGGTACCCTCCCTACAGTCTGTTCACATAGGATGAGACACAACAAAACCAACCACCGAGGCAAGGAATCTCATCATCTGCCTACTACAGACAGACTCAACAATTAGGGTATGTCAGAAGTTCTGTCAGGCTTAACAAGATAATCTCCAAGTTCATTGTTACCACAAGGCCAATGCATATCCAACATGATGCCAGGATTATCACTGAGAATCAGTGCTACACACACACCAGCATAATTGCTTTGTCATCACCAAGGCTTTGCAGCCAACTGCCATCAAATGCCAATTCTAACACTCGTGTGAGATCAGTCAAATTACTAAACTTCTTTGTGCCTCCGTTTTCTGTAAAATGGGGATGATGACAGTATTTAAATAACTTCATAAATGTATGGGGCTTAGAATAATATTTGGCCCACAGAAAGCATTATATATGTGTTTGTCATTATCACTACGTGGTCAGCCCTCACTTTTCCATGCTAAGCTATCTCTTCCCTTTGGACCACTGCATATGCTCTTCCTAGGCTTGAAACATTGTTTCCTATCCAGCCTTCATCTAGCTATCTGCTAATTCTTCAGGTCTCCAGGAAGCCTTCCTGGCCAACTCAGCTGGGCCGGCCATCCCTGCATCTGCACCCACCACATCTTGTGCTTTCTCAACCCCGTATTAGCATCCCCATATTATCATCTATATCCCCAACCAGGTCCTGTTCACTGGTGTATCCCTAGTGCCTGGCACAGAGAAGTCACTTAATAAATATGTACTGAACAAATGAATGGGAAATAGATGAAGGGCAGCTTTCATCACTCTACAAGCATTTACTAAGTGCCTACAAGATGTCACACCCTGGCCTATGCCTGGAAATACGTGGTGGAACAGAACACCAAGGCTGCTCTCCAAGAGCTCACAGAGTTTCTGCCTTCTAGCAGTAACTCCAGAAAAAAGTGGAGGTGGGTGTAGCCCTGCCCAAGGCAGGAGGTCAACCAAGTACCAGAAGGAAGGGTTATTCTCAGAGGGGAATACAGGTTTACCTAGGATAAGTCTGTTTAACTGGAAGCAAGCAGCAAAAGCTTTGATTCTGTTTATCATGCCTGCATGTGAAGAATTAATGTCACTCATGACGGATGAAAAACAAAAAGTGGACTCTTCTTTATCAGGGTGATTTTTTACCTAAGCATCACTCTCTTTCAAGAGAAACACTGGTTAGTTCATTGCATTCATGTTGTCTGCAGACTGTTTACCACACTGTAAACTCCTCTGAACAGAAATCATTGTTTGTCACGATCATATAGTTATATTCCACCCCACTGCTGCCTTCCATCAGCAACAAGCACCTAATGTAATGCCCAGAGTAAAGGGACACTGCAGATTGCAAAAGGGGCACAGTTCACTCATTTGGCATCACTTCTACCTTTCTGCATTCCTATGTTTTTTTAGGATTGTTAAAGGAGTATTTGTTGTTTCTTCTACTTTTCTGAAGTAGAGCTGATACCACCACCAACCAACCCCCCAAAATAAGCCAACTGTGGGATTCTGGAGAAGAATTACTTGGTGGTAAGTTTGCTAGAGGCTTTGATAGCTTAGGCCCATTGAAGGAAAAATGGAAAACAGAATTTCTACTTATAGTAAGAAAAAGTTGGAGCAACTTTTCCGTTGGAGATTACATCAAAGATATTTGAGGTTATGTTTTCCATACTGGTTGCCCTAAAAATGAGAGAACACAAGAACTTTTCCTCAATGAAGGCAAGCCTGGCTACAGAAGGGCAATGGTGCTGCCAAACCCCAGCCCAGGAAGGCATGCAGCCTGATGCAACTGCAGCTGTGCATCCAGGGACAGCCACAGTGCCTCCATCCTCCACCGTCCACCCAGAATCTCGAGACCACAGGCTCATCTTCACTACCATTTTGAGGGTCATCTGTGTTGTCTTACAACAAATTTCAAAGCTAAATAAAAGTGAGTTACAAATTACCTGCCTAACATTTCTATTCTTTTTATGATAGAGCAAAGTAAGCCAGTAAGGTTGTGATGCAGGGAAAGTCCCTTTACCATGTTTACAGAGGAACTCTGTGAGGATGACTGCGGTGTCAGTGCACACATACATGCCCTAGGCCTGTGGAATATCTGTGTGAGTATACCTCTGTTTTTCTGTTTTGTTGGGGGTGTGTGTGTGTGTGTGTTTTGTTTGCTTGCTTGTTTTTTCTGAGACAGGGTCTCTGTCCCTCAGGCTGGAGTGCAGTGGATTGATCTTGGCAGATCAAGGGATCTTCCCACCTCCGCCTCCTGAGTAGCTGGACTACAGGTGTATGCTATCACATCCAGCTAATTTTTATATTTTTAGCAGAGAAAAAGTCTCCCTATGTTGCCCAGCCTGGTCTTGAACTCCTAGGTTCAAGCAATCTGCCTGCTTTGGCCTCCCAAAGTGCTGAAATTACAGGTATGAGCCACTGTGCCTGGCCCCTTTACCCCTGTTATGTTGGGGTGGGACAAATCAGCCTGAATAATACTGGAAATATAACCCATGGGCTTGTCACTAAAGCAGCTATGTCTCAGCCATAAGACAGTTTCCCTGGGAGACCAACTGGACTGAGAACATAGAGGTAAGGCAGGCAAGTAGGAGTGGACAGCTTATTTTTTCTTGATGTCTTTAAGACTGAATACACTCTTGCATGGAGGTACATAAACACATTGCTCATTAAAGTGTTACCAGGATCTGTTTTAAATAACACATGCCCGGGAACAATGTGTGCTGTTCTCATTTCTCTCCATGACAGTCCCACTAGAGTAGACAGGAGAATGTCATAGAAGGTGGGTCTGAATTTCTGCTAAGCTTTTTACAAATGTCCTCTATGATATTCTTGCATACAAGATAGTGAAAAGTGAATGGGATAAGCATATAGCTAGATAGAATTGCTGTAGATAAACTGCACGGACCGAAGTGTTTGTTAGGACAATACAGTAAGCTTTAGGTGGAATACAGGTCTCTTGTAATGGCCATAGAGCTCCTCCCTTGACTGTTGTGTTTAACTTTTAAAACAATCATTTCCTTAGATCATGAGATCAAAGATACACTTTTAATATGGGCAGATGATGCAAAAGTGGTATAGCGGGCTTCATCATAATAGATTACCAAAATCAAGACGTAAAATTATCTGGGCAGATTTGAACACTAGGTCAAAATTAACAAGGGTAAATTTCATGTCTGAGATCTACATTTTAAAATAAGAATATAGTAATCACCCAGTCTTTTGTATCTACCCTAGAGAAGTGCTTGTATATGTGTACAAGGAGATGCTGTTAATGATGATTTTGAAAACCAGAAATAAAGAACTGCTAAGAAAACTATGGAATATCCACACTGTAAAATATACTATGCAGATTTCCAAGATGTGTTGCATACAGAAGACTTGCAAAATGATATGTTAACCTCAAACCCACATACATGAATTCACACATTTATGCTGATATATATCTATATATGTAAACTAACAAAAACGTCTGGAAAGACCCCTAATAACTAATACCAGGATCTACCTTCAAAGAGACACTGAGTTGACATAGAGTTCAAAAACGCTTTGGCTTTAAGGGTAGCCTGTGAACTTCAGAATGTATTTGTGTTAAACTAGTGTAATTAAGCTTTCCTTTAAAAGTACACCCTTGCTTTTAGCTTTTTTTAAAAAAGTTTTACAATGGAGGAAAAGATACAAATTCTTGGGCTTTCAGTTACCACAAACCTAAGAGGAGTCAGCATTGTGGAAAGACTACAGAAAGCTAACTCATACTCTACAGACCGTGTTACAAGTTTGGTGTTCAGATAGCCTGCAAGGACTAGAGTTCATTACCCTGATGATGTCTGGAACACTGGGTTGGACCCAATTCTGGCAGCAGGAACACTGGCAACACAGAATGCAACTAGAGGAAAGAAATGCTATGGGGATTCTGAAAAGCATGACATCAGAATAATAAATATGGAACAACAACTGTTCAAAAAGATTACGGAAAAACAAACAGGTTTCTTCAAATATTTGAAGGCTTGTTATGTAGATGAATCACTAAACTTAAGAGTTTTTCCAGAGGTAAACATGAAGATAAATACAAGTGATTTTTTTCTATTAAAATAGAAAAAGAAAAACATTCTAACAGGAACAAATGACAAAATAGCCTATTAGGCCAGGTCATGAGCTCCCTGTCATCGGAGGTATTCAACTAAAATACTGTATGTAAAAAGATGTTGGGTTTTATTAGAAGAAAACTATATAATATTTAATATCTCCAACAATTCTAATGTTCTATGGTTCCATATTTCAACTGCAGAATCAATTTTCAATCAATGTATAATCTCAATTCCAAATCCCACAGGTGGTATACTCTACCACCAGGTGGCAGTAGATGCCTTGGGCTCTGGGTCCCAAATGTTAGGTGTGGTTAAAAAGAAGTTAGCATAATACTTTTAAAAATAAAACAATAAAAGAACAGAGTCCAATCATGAAGCCAAGAAAGTAATCCCTTTTAAAGAAACAGGTAAGTAGAATTCATAATCTTTCTGAATATTCCATCACAATGGTTCTTAATCCATTGGCTTTCCTCTTGTACATTTCTTTTGTATGGGGTCTACAGAGACCCCTTACCTTGCGTGGCCTCCTCTCTCTGGTGTCAAGCTTCCTGACCTGAATACAGTTCCTGATCCCTGTGTCTGTTCTTGATGCAAAACTCCCCTCTGCTTCCTCTGCAGGTGAAGATCATGTTTGCCACTACAATCTTTCTTCCTGACCCAAGAAGAACTATTGGAGGGTCAGAAAAACACCCAGCCCCTTCCTGCTTCTAGCCTTCCTGCTCTGTATCCACACAGCCAAAGCCACAAAACAAGCAATCAACAAACAAAAACAGAATAGGCCCTACCCTGACAGAATGAAAGTATATGATTATCTTTTCCCAAATACAAGAGAATAATCTTCCACCCAGCTCTTAAAGAGAAAACTTTCCTTCTACAGCCACAGCTGTTTGGGTTGGTGTTGCTTAAAATTTGAATATAATCAACAACCCTTGTCCCAGTCCCTAGAAGCCTTCAAGTGCCAATGATTGCCTTGGTTGAGATTGAGAGATCACTTCAGAAAACGTAGTACTAAGGAAGTATTTCTGTAAGTGCTTGCGAGTAAATACAAATTAAACAAGATTTATTAAACCGAGACTTAAAGCAATTTTACTATGTACCTGAGTCGAGGATCTACTCATCTTTCTAGTCTCAGGTGAAAGACCTCTTCTTCCAGGAAGCCCTCAGGACTTTAGGATATGCTTGTTGTCTCTGCTCTGTGCTCCCATATCCTCCTCGGTATCTCCCATCACAGCCCTGCACCTGCCCTGTCACCATCCTTACCACATATGTGCATTATGGCTGCTCTACCAGCCTGTTTCCCCGTTACACAGCAGGGCCTAGACTGTACCTGATGCTTTTACCACTGAGCCCCTCAACACAGTAGAACCCAATAAACATCCAGAAGACCATGATAAATAAACACATCATCAATTAACTCATTACTGTGGAACCCAAGTCTAGACAGCTGTTTCATTGAGGTAAATATCCACTCCACAAACACTTTGTGTCTCTTAGGCCAGTTATAGTTCAGAATGAGTCAAACCCAGGTCCTGCCCTCAAACAATGTACAGTTGAGTAAGGAAGTCAAAACAAGTACACAAATCTGTAGCACAAAATATAGACAGGAGCACCACAAAAAGATGACTATGAGAGGATGGAAAAACAGGAGCAAAGGCACAGAGATCACCAAGTGGTTCAAGTAACTGGAGCTAAGCCTATGGGACAGGTATACCGGGGCCGGAGCCTAGAGGTCCTTGAACAATACCTTTGAGTAGTCAGGACACGTCAGGCTAACTGCTTTACATTCATGACCTCATTTATTCTTTAAAACAAGTCTATGTAAATTCTATCACAAAGAAGCAAACGTGTTCACAGAAGTCAAGAAAACTGCCCATGATGTCACTGTTGGTAAGTGGCAGAGCTGCGATGCACACCCAGGCCAGCCTTATGACCATGGCAGCAATGCTACGGAGGTGCTCTGGAGCCTGGGATGCCAAGTCAAGGAGTTGCTACTTTATCCAATGGGAGCTAATTTGAGCAGGAGCATGCCAAGGTTCAAAGATTGTGCTTGGGAAGATGTATCAGACAGTAATGGGGAGAACAGATTGGGAGTCAGATTTGAAGCCTATTGCAATAGTCCCAATGTTGTATCATTAAGCTTCTGAACTGAGAGTGGCAGTAGGACTGGCAAGGGGATTCAGAGTTAAGGAATTCCAGAGGAAGAGTGGGGACAATCAAGGATGATCCCAAGGTATGCACCTGAATGACTAGAAGGATGGGGATTTGGAAGTGGCTCTGCATATGTACCTTACCATGGGAAAGAACAGGAATGAATGGGTGGGAGTATAGCAGATTTAGCTCCTCAGGAGATGCAAACCAGGGAGCAGCCTAAATCCTCCCTAAGCATTACTGCTCCCTGCAAAAGCTTCCCAAATTCTCTTAGCCTCCCCACCCATTTGGGGCATCTGAGCCCACCAACTCACAAAAGCAGAGGGGCAATAATGTGACATGAGGCATCACACAACCGTGTCTACCCAGGTCTACTCTCCTCTGGCCAGCCTGACCCAGCACAGACAATTTCTGGTCCCAAACCAGCACCAAGAAGTAGAATAGTAGCAGACAGGAGTTAGAGGCCGCAGGTAGTGATTCTGGCCCCTTCACTGACTCCCTGTAACCTTGGACCAAAAGATTAACTTTACTGGATCTCAGTTTCCTAATCTTTAAAATGAGGAGTTTGAACCAGAATCCAAACTAGGGGCACACAGGACAAAATCATCTTATAAATGGACTTTGACCAACATAATATTTTTTAGTTAGCTTCAACATTTAAAAACCAGCCCATTTCACAAAGAGCATATTTGCAGCTGTTCTTGAAGCAGGAAGGTCTGGCAACATGGAGCCCACATTCCTACATGGCATCAGTCAGCTGGGGCTGAGTAGCTGCTGGGATACCACCCTCCAGTTTGCCACAGTCCCCACCACTCCTACTGTCCCTGATTGCTGCCACTCCTCATCTATACAGGGCCATTTTGATGTTTTATGTTAATCGTCTGGCCCCTGTATGGATCTGAGTTCACAATCTCTAAAGAAAATGATCTAAAATATCATTATTCCAAGACTCAGGAACTGGGGACATTAAACAGAAGCGCAGGGGAATTGGCAGTGATTTTTCCTCAGTGGAAGATGTGGGCTCTTCAGAGGAGCAAGGGCTTGCTACAGCGGATGAAGGTTCATTAACACTTGTGTCAGGCCTGCCCACCACCCCACACCCCACCCTCAGTGAGGCACAAGACCAGATGACATCAGCCTTGGACACAGAGAAACCCCATCATGAAGCAATTTGCTTTCCCAGCCACTCTAACAATTAGCTTAACAACTCTGGTTGGGCACTTGCTGCTGGAGTGGAGAACCGATCCTGATCTGCAGAATCTTCAGCCTAGAAGCTTCAGGAACTCTCCTCCTATCTCCCCAAGCCAACTTCCCTTGCTTTCCTTGGGTCTGCATATCCTGCTCACACAGATATTCTAAATATCTCCAAAGAGGTTCCACCTTCTCCTTGAGCTTCCCAGCTGGGCTCCTTGGAAATTCTCCAGCAAAATGAGTTTCTCCAGCTGCCATTTCAGCCCATTCTCTCTTAGTATGTCCTGCAGATATTCTGGCCTCATCACAGGAAGCATGCGAGGCCAGCATGGGAGATGGGGTGTGGAAGGAGGCCTAGCACAGGCCACATCCAGAGACAGGGGCACACTCACAAGGCTGGCAACCTTCGGTCATCCTTGGTGCAGATCTTGACTCAGCACCAGCCTCAGGAACGTAGTTCAGCCTTACTCAGACAGCATACTCAGCTCTGCATCTGCATTGCCAAAGGGCCTCTTAGTAAGAATGCACAATACTCCCTCTATACAGCTTGTCCTGCTCCTGTCTCAAGCTGTACCCCAAATCCAAATGCCAGATATCAGAAAGAGTGAGATTATTAAGGGGAGATCAAAAGGAAAAGTTTATGAAGTCACAGGCTATTATTTTTAAATACAATATTAGAATTCAAGGATAGATGGGGATGAGGCCAGGGCCTAAAACAGCAGACCCTCAAGAAGGAAAGCATCCCTGCATGACTAGATAGAGATTTCAAAGAGACCATGGAGAAATAAATGCCTCATAAAAATGGAAAAACCACCAGCAAAATAATCAGATCAAAAATAAACCTGAGAGATGACAATGCCAAGGTCAATCACAAAGGTTATTTTGTTCCAATGGGACCAAATCAGTGAAACCAGTTGATGACACTCTTAGTACAAGTGGTAGCTTGGAATAAAAATCCTTCCCAACTTGCCCTCCTTGATGGACAGCAGAGAGGTCAGGGTTGAAACTGCAGTGAGGGTATGGGAACCTGGCTGACAAATGAAGTGTAGATAAATCACCAGAACCATATGGCATCCACCTGGGAGTCCTAAAGGAATTCAAGGGTGAAATTGTGGCAAGGCTGCCCAAATGTGTAACCTCTGATTACAAAATCACTCATGCTTTAGAACTGTCAGAATGCCCGTGTAGCCTCCATTCATAAGAAAGGATCCAGGGAGAATTCTAATTTTCACACCAGGAAAGTAGGCAGGAGGACATAGCTTCAGAATAGGACTACTGAGCATGTAAGCAAGCATGATCTACCAAAGGAAAAGATGGTACAGCTCGTATAAAAGCAAAGCTTGTATGTAATAGTTTTTGAGAGAGTAAATATGAATGTGAACTAATGAAAATCTGTCCATTTACATAAATTTAATTTACATAAAATTTCCAAGATACTATAGTAAAAGACTTTTTTAAACTGAATAACAACACAACAGGAAAAACACTTTTTCAGTGAACTACTTGGAGGCCAGAAACAAAATGAAAAAATACACTGACATGTCTCCAAATTAAAGAAATTTTAAAAGTGGGGTTCATAAGCCATCATGGCACTAGAACTTGTCTTATATAACATTCTTATAACCTGTAGGAGGGAGCTTACAGTGAGGTACTCTATGGGTCTACACTCTTCCAGGCAGAAGAAAGAAACGCTGATCAAGAGAAATGACAGAAAAGTCTTTCCAGGTTCTAAGAGTTGACGTAAAGAGGCGACTGAGTTTCAGTGTGATGGGATCTATCTACTTCATAGTAGTTCCTTAGTCTCCTCTCTCCAGATAGGACAAATTTGGGCTCCATTCCCTTGACCTCATGACTGTGAGCTCCAAAACTTACATATGCCTGGAAAACCGGAACAAATCTAGATTTAACTCACAGAAAATGCTTCTGACTAGACTATCAAAGAAGTTGTCCACTGCATTTGGTTAAACCCTGACCAAATGGCAGTCAAGCCTTCTATGGCCCAGCCCTTCCTTCTTCACTTACAGTACCCATTCAATTCATGGCTCTCCAGATTTATAAATTCAGGGCAAACATTCATAGAAAAGTCATTCTGAAGCTACGAACTGAGAATTCTAAAACAATAGAGTATGATTGGATTTACTCATTTCTTCAATTTTTGTTACTGCATCTCTATCTTGGGCATATAGCAGGGAGCTGACTGTAGAAATGCAAACCTGAGTAAGCTCAGCACCCCTGCCTAGCCCCACTGTTCCCTTGTAATCCATCCCATCCATCTATTCTGTTTCACCTACTACCTGCAATCTGGTAAGAGGCATTGCAACACGTTCTTAGCCTGTATCTCTGCTATCCAAGTCCATTCATTCCTTTAAAACTACAGGCAACAGAACTTCTCCCCTCAGTCATCCTACAGCATGATGGGACCTTGAAACTTACTTTACCATTCTGGGCTTGAGATTAAGTGCCTGAATGGAGAAGTCAGAAACAAAACACTTCTATGTTGTGTCACCTGTGGAAGCCTGTTCCAATAAATTATGGTAGCTATGTGCATAGGTTCGAATCCTGGCCCTCCTAATGACTAGATGAGTGAACTCAGAGCTCAATATCCTCATTTGTCAAACAGAAAAAAATAGTGTTTATCTACTTAAAAGGACAGTTCTGGGGATCAACTGTGGTAATGCTTATAAAGAGCCTAATACAGTAGCTAGTGCATAATAAGCAATCCATTGATGTTAGCTAGTACTAACATTTTCCTAAAGAGAAGACTTATTCATTTTTTTATTTTCTCCTCAGTCTAAATGCAGCTTTTAAAAAGCTACTTTAAAAAAGTCGGGGTGACTTATGCTAGTTCTCAGTTCTACAGCTCTTTGGCTCTCAGTTGTCCCTATAGTATCTTTCTGCACAGTATTTTCTTAGGCTTTTCTATATATTGTTTTACAAATTGTAATGTCTTTCCTATGTATCAATGCCATTGCTACTTGTTCTTCAGTAAAGTTTGCATGGAAAAGGCAGTATGCCTGCAATTTTAAAAGGAGTGGGCCATTTACTGCTTCTAAGAGGTTCCACAGATGACATTGTTCTCAATTAACCCACAGGTAAAGGGTATGTACTCTGAAATTAGACTGGGTCAGTACTTTGAGAGCAGATCTATCACTGGGTGAAGATTCATGTTAACCACGTTCACAGGCTGATGTATAAGCCAGAAACTCTGTATCTTGAGTGCCAAAAGTAACAACATGACACAACTGCCACAGGACCCTGCAGTGCTCAGTTCAGTATAAGCAGTGTAGGCTGATGCACTGGGGATGCCAAGCCATCATCAGAATGCTTCATGATGAACATTTAATCAAGGCTTGGGAAGTTTGCAGCACAAGCCGTGGTTCAACATCAGCAGGCCATGATGGGATGCACCAGCAAGAATAGTGCTAGTCCTGCTGGAGAACCAGAGGGCCCTGGTGGGCAGCCAGAGTCTGAATGGGCACCACCAGCTTCTGCTTCAGCTTGCCTTTCAGAAGTGCCCTGGTGGGCCAGCACCTTCTACACAATCTTTTTCCAAATTGCACTTGGAGCAATTAAATAGGTTTTATATTACTAAATTACAATCACATTTCAGCCAATATCCCTGAGATTATTTCCAGGTCACACTGATGGAGTCTTTTGCTTCACATATTTGCAAAACACCCCCTGGTACATAGCTACAGATGGTAGATCACATCTGTGTGGCATACATGGATGGACCTAATTTAACCCTCAGAGGCAGCTTCATATCTATTATTTCCAGGTTCCTGGGGGTGTGGAAGGATGGGCTTCACTGTTACCTCCAGGAAACCTCTATGAGCTAAATTCCCCCAGGCCAGGATCCCCAACTTCTCTTTTATTTCAAGATTATTTCACAAGTAGAATAGGAATTCATTTGCAACAGTCACCTTATCAATGGCATTGACTGATCTGTCAGGTGAAACTGTAGATATTTGCTTTATTAACAGGAAGAGGCCACTTTCAAGCGTTGGTTGGAAAGAGGGAGAGAGACAAAGAAACAGAGGAGACACAGAGAGCAGATACAGGCAGCAGATCAAAACAGAACAAGTCCAGGAAGAAGAGTGCACTGAGATGCTGCCTTTATAAGGACTTGCAGAAGGAAGTGTAATATGTTCCTTGATTGTATTTAGAAAATTGATGTCCACTACCGAAAAAGGAATAGCTCTTCTTCCACTAAATTTATCCTGGCCAATATCCTCTTTTTCTTCCCTTGTGTTAACAGGCCATGGAAGAACATCCAGCTTTAGTCCTTAGACGAAAGAAACTTGAAACGTGCGGTAGAAATGTATCATATTCTTCAAGTCTCACTCCCTGGGCTAGAAGAGATCTTTAAGAGGTCTTTTAGGAACCTCTCCAACTCAAGAACTGATGTGCCTAAGGGGAAGTCTAACAGAGGACACACTGCCATTTGGGAAATTCTGACCTTCCTACATAGTTGTAATATGGACATCTTCTGCTCTTTTTCTCTGGGTTTAATTGAGGAGCAAGGCAATGAAGATGACAAGAGGTATCATCCAGATGTATCACCTTCAAAATTCAGATGTTGAAACTTAATGGCCAATGTGATGGTATTAAGAGGTAGGGTTTTTGAGAAGTAACTAAATTATGAAGGCTTCTCCCCCATCATGAATGAGACTAAGGCCCTTATAAAAGAGGATGCACTGTTCAAGGCACCATCTTGGAAGCAAAGACTGAATCCTTGCAACAAACCTTTCAGCTCCCTGATCCTTGTTCCCAGCCTCCAGAACGATGAGCAATAAATTTCTGTTCATTATAAATGACACATACCAGGTATTTTATTATAGCAGCACAGATAGACTAAGACCGATGTCTTCAGCTCTCCTCTTTTGGGTTGAGTTGCGAGGCAATCTTGATGAACAGAACCCAAGCTTTGGAGCCAGACAGGCTAAGGCGAGATCTTCATTTTCAGCATTTCTGGCAAATCGCTTAACCTCTCTGGGTATGTTTTCACAGCTATAAATGGGAGTAACTACTACTTTTCAGAGTTGTGGGAGAAATAGAGATTACACTTGGAAAGTGTCAATGGCTGCTTTTATTATAAGTGACTTGCCAGCAAACTTATACCTGCAACGGATGGGATCGTACCATTACAGAAGTCACCCACCAGGTAACACCTGACTTGGCTCAGATCACCAAGCATCCCAGCACATCTAAGCAGGCATGTACATCATGCCCCCCATGTCATCTAATCAGGCACAAGGCTGTCTCCTTCCCCTTCCTGATCATCTTCCACACAGAAATGCTAAGTCTTAAACATGAGGTTTAAACATGAATAGAAAGCTTTCAATGGCAGACATCAGTGTGCGCACACACACACACACACACACACACACACACACGATAGCTGGAGAGAGCAAGACAAGGCAGAAAACATATCTAATTATGGCAATTTCAATCACACAAATATTATATATGTGAAAGAGACTTTAATAATCATTTAGTGAAACCCTCTCTTTTTATAGGTGGCAAAACTGAAACCTAGGCAGGAGAAGGGACAGAACCACGACAAGGAGTCCTAAAACCAAGACCTCCTGACTGGGCTGAGGACCCACTGAAATTGACACACAAGGCAAATGCCAGAGGAAGGGAAGGTCAAGCTTACATTTACATAGCTGCTACTTTATAAATAACACTGGATAGGCACTAAGGCTTAGGAAACAAGTTCCCAGCTGTCCTCCAGGAGCTTAACATCTGTCTAGCTGAGTAGCAAACACCTACCATATGAAACAGCAGTAATGAAAGGAGGTTTGTGATGGCAAGTCATGTGTTCAGGGAGATCAGAGACGGAAACAGGGTTATGTCCCAGAAGATCTCTTCCCCACAGGCAGTGGGACATGCTGCAGCCTCATAAAGACCATGGCTAGGATGCAAAGAACATTCAAGAAAAGGTTCCAGCAGGAACAAAGTCTTGGAATCTAGACTCAGTATGGCATGTTCTCAGTAAAGACAGAATGCCTGCAAGTTCTGCGAAGACCTACTACTACCAGGTTTCCATGTAGTGTGTGTATGTAGATGCTTCCTGGACCTCTTACCATCGAACAACTCCTCAAAGCTCCATGATATTTTTTTCTTTTTGTAAAAATGATATGTACCCAATGCTTTTGTCAATAAGTATTATTCAACTGCTCGGGAAACAGTGTAAATCAATAAATACTTAATATCTACCAAGCTTCTCTATCATCTCTAGACATGGCAGGGCAGAGGCCTTGATGTTAGTCTGTGATGAAGGCAGATGGGGAAGGGAGTTTTTGGTTGCCTCTTATTTCTGTCTCTGGCCTAAGCACAGATATTGAGTATGACAGGTAAAAACAGAGGAGAATGGTGCTAGATGAACTCCAAAGGTTATACGCCACTCTATACCACACTCAGCAAAAAAGAAGCCTTCAAAGAACCTGAAATGTAGATGGATTTGAGACTGTCATCAGTGTCACTGGGCCAACCAGCCTTTTTGGTTTTAGTTCCAATTTCACAAAGTGGTCCGGATGCTCATATGCTGCAACCTCACAGGATGTCACAAAGGCTGCTACCTGTGGAAAGGCAGGTTACACCTGCCTGTCAGCAGAGGCTGACAAGAGTCCAGGCAAGTACAGAGTTCCACAGATGGAGGTGGGTGCTCTCCTCCCAGAAAGACCATATCCCTAGCCCCAACTTCTAGAACTGGGATCTAGATCCAAGAACTGGGATTGATTAAATTATCCAAACTTTGTCATCCTGCCCGCTCAATGGTGAGATTTTCAGACTAGCCACTGAGGGTTGAAGGAGGCACTGCCTATGGAGTAGAAGCCATTTGTTCCTCTGTGTAAGTCTAGCTGGGCCCCATAGGAATCAGACCCATAGTTTGACCTCCTTAAGGCCACTGCCAACCAGCTGAGCTACAGCATAGGGCCTGAGAAGACATGTGCAGTACATCAGGAGGCAGATGGGTAGTTACGAGACTATGTCAAGAGTCTCTCAAACTGTGTCTTCACATCCTAGTTAGGTGTCACCAGTCTTCTGCCCAAGCCATACACCCAGAACCCAGAGAAGTTCATCAAGATAACTGATGAGTGGCTTCCCTGGCCAGCATAGCTGCCCCAGTTCCCCTCTGAAAAAGTGAGTATACGTTGGCAACAGGTACCTCCTACCTGCTGTGCCATCTTGCTCACTTCTCAGTTGTGGTTTCCATAAACATATTATAAACAGAAAAGTTTGGCATGGCAGAGAGATACACAGGACATAGGCTCTTAGATCTAACACGGAAGTCAGGGATGTGATCCTTCTCCCCATTTGTACCTTATCCTAAGTGCACTGGACCTATCTCATATCTTTCCTCTTATGGTTTTTTGTTTTGTTGGGGTTGTTTTGGGGTTTTTCTGTGTGCTTTTACATTGATTTAATAAACCATGTGATCTGAGCATCCTAATTTGGCTGTGAGCTTCCAGTTCCAGGACCTCTGGTTTGGGTGTCAACTATGTGTAGAGCATACTTAAAGGGCACCTTTGCATCAGAGTAATTCCCCATCACAACAGGGGTGGGTGGGGTGGGGTGGGACAGGGTAGGAAAGAACAGTCAAGGTCAGGGATGTAGGAAGAGAAGATAAGTGCTAATATCCTATCTGACGTCAGAGTAGGATTAAGGCCTCAGAAAATATCATTTTACTGACAGCCTGGATATGAGCATCCCCTTTCTGGCTCTGCCACGAAGAAATTGTGGACCAATCACTTTGCCTCCTGGAAACTGTTTTCTTATCTGAAGGAATGAGGCAAATAGACTAAATCATCTCTAATGTCTCTTCTGGAGCCTTCTGGATCTCCCATTTGGGGATTTAAAGTCTGCTTCAGCCTGGACTGCAGCTAACACTGCATCCTCAGAAAGTGGAGTTTGTGTAAAGATATTGGAGCTTATGTAGCGAGAGTATGGAGGTTGCCTAGCTCACATATTAGTACTGGGAAACTAACTGAAAGGGAGGTTGGAGAAAATTGTTTTTCCTAAAAGCCTCATCTCCTAGTCAACCAGGGGCTCCTGTTGTTTTCATCACTCTCCACTTGTTCTATGCACACCCTCTGTCCTTCTCCAGCCCACTGAGTCCCCAAGGCTGACCTATATGGACCACATCAAAGCTCTCTTGCCCTCTGGCATTCTACTGAGCTCAGCCTTTAGAAAGCTGTGGCAGGATATCAGCTTCACCAAGGAGGGTGAAGCTGCGGTGTTCCCTATTCCCAACATTGTCATGGGTGACCATGAGCTCGCTATGTCCCTTAACCCAGGTCACAGCTCCTTTTGAGGTTTCTCTTTCACACACATTCTGGTAACCACTCACATCCCTCACTCCTTCAAGTCTAAATCCCTCTCACACCTTTATAAAGAGTCCCTTCATTAAACCTTCCTCAGGTTACCCAACATGTTTGGGTCATCTGTTTCCTACGAAAGCCCTGACTGGTACATCTAATGAATGCATTTTCACCCTAGAGTCATCTCTGAACAGTTGAATTACCCTGAAAATCTTTACACCGTGCAACTCAACACATTCAGGATTCTCTCTGGTGTAGCAGAATTTCCAGACAGAAGCTGAGTTCTCTTTTCTCCACAGCCCTCTTCATCCCTACCTGCAAAATTTCCTGTGCAACATGGAAAGAAGAAAAAAATCATAATGGCTACAACTCTCAGTTCTGAGCATAGATGAGCAGCACAACACAATGTTCATGTCATTGTCTGGTATGCTCTCCCACCTAGCCTGATGACTCAACATCTCTACTGGGAGACGACCGGCTGCCCTTCTCCCTGACAACACTCAGGCACCCTCCCAGGGAAAAGAGTGTCATCAGGGATCCTGGATCCCCATCAAGCCCAGCTGTATTCCTGTTCCCACAAAACTCACCCCAATTGGAAGGTGAGCTGAGTTGGAGGTCTCTGACTGGCTTCTGCAAAAGTTATGTTCTCTCTCTGCCCCAGTCTAAGCTTGAAATCTCCACTTGTTGAGATGGTTTTTCTTTTTTCTTTTTTTCTTTGACATTTCAAAAATTATTTTCACACATGATTATCATACAGTATTACAATGTATTATGTGCAAAATTCCATTTAAAAAATCATTTACAAAAGAAAGTACAACACAGTATATGCTGAGGGTTCTAGTTCAACAAAAGCCAAGGCTGAAAAAGGTACAAGGTTCAAAGCCAACCAAATTAGATGACTATGCATCTTTACACAGTACAATATTGTGTTTTTGTAACTACCTGTGTTACATGGATACAAGACCCTCATCGTTTGTGCACCTGCAAACTGGTTTTATTTAACGTAAGTTTAATTTCTTTTTTTTTTTTTTTTTTGAGATGGAGTTTCGCTGTCGTTACCCAGACTGGAGTGCAAAGGCACTATCTCAGCTCACCGCAACCTCCGCCTCCTGGGTTCAAGCAATTCTCCTGCCTCAGCCTCCCGAGTAGCTGGGACTACAGGTGCGCACGACCATGCCCAGCTAATTTTTTGTATTTTAGTAGAGACGGGGTTTCACCTTGTTGACCAGGATGGTCTCCATCTCTTGACCTCGTGATCCACCCACCTCGGCCTCCCAAAGTGCTGGGATTATAGGCGTGAGTCACTGCGCCCAGCCCCCGTAAGTTTAATTTCACTGTAGATTCTGATAATGTAGTTTTTTTGTGTGTATTTCCAATTTTTTCTCCATTGTACAGCATCTTATTTAACTCCACAAAAGCCACATTATACATTATTTGGTTTCAGGTCCCAATAGCTTGATGCTGTTAGTTTTAATTTCTATGGAAAGGGGAGAAAAGGCATTCTTCTTTATTTTTTTGTTTGTTTGTTTGTAGGAAGTGATTTATTTAAAGAGAGAGAAACAGGAGAAGGAGAGAGAAAGAAACAACTATCACACTGAGTGAGAGAATCCAGAAAGATGCAATCCAGGAGAGGAAAGCAGCTCCACATTGAGTGGAAGGGAATAGAGAGAGATAGAGTTTAGGAAGGGAAGACAGGCTTCCACGAGAGAGTGTGGAAGGGGACCCCAGAAGGAAAATCCACAATAGAGAAAAACAGCTTCAACTAAGGGAGTGTTCATGGAAGGGGATCCAAACATGGAGTCCCGATTTTTATTTTCCTCAGGGGGCTTTCAAAATTGTTTCTAAAAGCAAATCACACATGGAGTAGATTTTGCCAAACCTCATTGCATATTTACAGTATTTTAAATATAGGTAGTTCGTTCTCTTTTTCCATATCTTTCGAAGAGCCTGAACCAGCAGACTGCACTCCTCAGTCCTTTGTTAGAGTCCGTATTTCTCTCTCTAGCTCTCTCTACATTCGTTTCTCTCCTTATTCTCAATATCATTTGTTTAAAAAACAAAAGAGCAAAACACCACTAAACGTGACCAAGATAACAGTACATCCGATTTCCAAAGGCATTCTGTGGCCAGTGTCAGGAATACATGGCTTTAAGAAATCCAGCTGTCTCTCCCCACAAAGTTGCCAAAACATCCAGTTACAGAAGAGAGACTTTTAAAATGCAATACTCTCAAATCCAGCAAGAGATTTATTTTTGAATATTAAATGTTAAAATCACATGCATAATTATAGAACATTTTAAAGTTACAAAAATATTTTAAAAACCAATCCTGACAGTTTACTTGCAACCGCTATAAAAATTTCTATGAAATATATAAAAACATGAAGGCTATTCGTAAAAAAAAACAAAAGGAAAAAGAAAGGAAGGAAGAAAGGAAGGGATGAAGCCATCCACAGGAGTGAGAATTACCTGACGCACTGCATCGGACAGTCTTGTCAAACATCTGCTGTTGAATTCAAAAGAGCTTGTGCCTTAAGTGTTTCTTCTGCACATCTACATACATGTAAGCCAACCTAGAACCTGACTAGGGGTAGGCAGCAAACAATCTCAGGACACTTGAACCATCAAATGCAATTCTCCATTGCCAAAAGAGACTCCTACTGTTTCACGAACCTCAGCTACTTTGCATGGCTAAAGTTGCCCTTGGCCCAGTTGGCCTGTGGATGGCTTAGTCACTAAACTGAGGGGCCCCCAAGGAGGTGACTGCTCTTCAAGCTCAAGCACATAGAAGCCGGAAGGCAAGGCTTCCAGCTCCCCTTTGGTTGCACCACTAGGAAGTCCCACCTGTCTTCTAGGAGGTGGTGAGGTCTTCTTCCCTGTTCTGGAAAATGACGCCGTAAGGATCATCCTTGGTGCATTTGTAGACAAAGTGGAAGATGTGGGGCTGAAGTCGGCTGCATAGCTCTTGATTTTTTAAGGGTAAGTGTCCTCTGCCAGCTGCTGCCATGCCTCGTCAATAAAGAGAAAGAGGCTGTACTCCTCAGGGTCCCCCACCTTGAACTTCTCAGCGTAGAGCTGACACACATCCTCGGTGGTGATGTAAGATTTCACGAGGAGAATCTTTCCTGTGCAGCCACTATTGACCTCCTGGAATGCAACTCAGAGGTAATTCTGGAAGTCGTCCACAGAAGGGATGGTCCAGTTGGTGGTTCTCTGTTTGTGCCACTGCCTCAGGGTGTCTCTGGTCTCTGAGCTGAGCAGTCATGCTACTTGTTCTTCTTGGAAGTTCTTTATCAGAGAAAGTGCTCCGTATGCGCTTGTCAAGTAATAGCATCCTTCTCCATGTAACAGCGATGGGTCTAGGAGCTCCATCATGTACTCAATTTCAGTGTCCAATTCAAGCATGTCACACTGAGCTATGACATAGGTCAGGACTGGCAAGAAGTCATCAGCACCATACATCCTCCCTGAGTTGTTCTCCATGACGGTGTAAATGAGCTTGCAGACCCGCAGCAGCGGCATGACTTTCTTTTCTGGGGACTACATATGTGTGGTCATGAACTTGACTTTGATTTTCTCCACATCCACAAAATCAGTGGTCGGGGCGAAGACCCCCAGCTCCTGCGGATTCCTCTGCCGCACAAGCTGTAGGTTCTCCTTGAGTTGCTTCCACGAGCCGTCGGCCATGTGAAAGTCCTTCAGCATGGCCTCCACGTGTCCCTTCAGGGGTTTCAAGATGCACTTGTGCATGGATGGCTTTCTCCAGCACCACATCTATTTGGTCTTCCAACTCCGCACTCTGAGACAAATAGTTCTTAACCTGGGTCATGAACTGCCGGATGGTCTGCAGCATGTCGGTGCTGGACACGTGGTTTTCCTTGTTCTCCTGCAGGAAGCTCACGTAGTCCTGCACCAGGCACCCGAAGTAGGTTCATTTGTCCCGGGACAGCTCAGCGATCCTGCGGACCATCTGCTTCTCCGGGGTCATGAAGGAGCTGAACACCCCGCTCACCTTCTGCAGCTGGGACTTGACGAGCTTGGGCAGCACGAAGGAGCTGCTCCTTTTCTTTTTGGACTTGATAGGGGGCGCCATGGTCTCCTGGTCACTCGCCCCCTCGTAGTCCTCCACGCTGCTGTTGGTGTCCGCCTCATAGCCTAGCCGAACAGAGGCATGCTCCGGTAGAACTCCAGCGAGTTGGAGGAGGAAGTGGAAATGCTCATGTCGCTCAGCCGCTGCCGGCCTCCATGGCACGGGGGCCGTGATTCAGAGCTGGGCAGCGGGGCGCTTGTGCAATCGCCTGGGGAGGCCTCAGGAGGGGTCCCACCTGGGCGGCCAGCTGCACCCAGCTCCAGCTCCAGGCCTGCGCCCTGCCGGCCGCTGCCGCTCGAGGTCTTTGCGCCACCCTCTGCTTCCAGAAAAAAAGCCTGCTTCTTCAGCAGGGGTGGAGGGATGGGAGTTGGTTTCGTACCAGGCAGAGCTATGTTCCTATGTTTGTTATGGTTGACTGTTTCTGGCATGCTCGTCTGGGTTTTGGTCCTGGCCAGCTGAGGGCTTGTGTGCAGACTATTAATAGCGGGTGGCGGGGGCCTGGGTTGGAGGGGACAGAGGCCGCTCCGTGCCATTCGCGTTGGGAGTCCTTGTGCTCCGGCCGCTTCAGGCCTCCGCTGAGGTCCTGGCTGTGCACTTTCAAGAAAAGGGGATTAATAAAGCACAGGGCCCCGTTGGTCTGGCTGCAGTCCAGCTCCGAAGGCGTCCTGGTTTTGATAGAATGCACTCCATTTATAAGGTAGAGCTGACGCAGGGAGGCAGGACAGACGCCGTCAGGGGAGAAGGGCCTGTGGGGAGTTGGAGGGTTCGGGGGCTTGCTGTCAGCTGGGGAGCTCCAGAAATTTAGTCCCATCTGGGCCAGTTCTTAAAGCTGAGCCTCCGACTTGGCTGTTGAAATGGCATAAGGCAACTTCAAGGTAAACGGCAGAACATCCCTGCTGATGCAGTAGAAAGCAATGAGCCGGAATAAATCTGCAAAACCGATTCCTGAGCCTTCCAGGGAAAACGTGTATGTGCTTTTCTTTATGGCAAATTCCTTGAGTGGGGCCCCAAATTCACAGGGTGGGCGTAGAGAGAGGACTTTCTTCTGCATTTTTGTAGACTTATGAACCAGGAAGATCCCCAGAGGCTGGGCCTGCAGGACCTCTGCTGCCTCCTCCTCACTCAGACTCAGCTGCAGCCATATGGGGTGAGTGTGGAGGAGCCGGTCCAAGATGCTGAGCCTGTTGGAGAGGCTGTCATAGCCTGAGTCCCGGGCACAGGCCTTCATGTCCTCTTCCTCAGAATAGCCATCATCCTTGTGTCTAACCATGCTGCGAGCTTCAGCGGGTTCCAGGCCATTTTCCAGGCTGACATCTGTCCGCACCATCTCCTGTTTCAGTTTTCTGATCTCCAAGGCCAAGATGGTTTTTCATAATAATAAAACAGTTGGTGATAATTTATGGACTAGATACTGATCTAAGCATTCCATGTGTTATACAATTCCATCTTCACACAACCCTATGCAGTAGGAACTTTTATTATCTCATCTTATTTTAAAGAGGAGAAAATGGCACACAGGTTAAAACCACATACCAGGATTTGGGCCCATGCAGTCTGGCTTCAGAGCCTGTACTCTTTTTTTTTTTTTTTTTTTTTTTAAACTAAGGAATGTTTTAGTCATGTGGAAAAGTAGAAAGAATAGCATAACTAGTCATCGTAACCTAGATTTAACAATTATTAGCTTATTGCCATATTTGTTTCATCATTTTTGCTAAATCATTTTGAAATGAGTTACAGACATCCTAACATTTCACCTATAAATACTACAATATGAATTTCTTAAATATGAGGGCACTCGGCTACAATACCATTACCACACTTCACAAAATTAATAATAATTCATAGTATCATCTAATAACCATCCTAAATTCAAATTTCCTGAACGTCAACCCAAAATATGTAACCCTTCTGAATTTACACCTCCTCCTTACACAGGACTGGGCTCATCTTCCTGAAATTGTTGCGGTGTTAGCTCATATGCTGCTGCTAAAGCCACACCAGCACCCAGCCCTGTCATCACAATGCTCTATATTCCTTGCTATGCTTTTCCTTCATCGTCTTTGAAAATAAGAAACCTCTCTTACTCCAGAACTCCTTCCACTCAATTCTGGTATAAACTTAATACAAAGCAGTCTTTCCTGAATGGAAAAGACACACCTTCCCAATGTAGCTCCTGCCCCACTGTAACCAAGACCACGTGAGACACACAACACACACAGGAAACAGCACTGCGCATGTCCACTGTCAGCTACTCAGGGAAGGGGGGAAGGTGGGCAAGCTCCCAAAGACAAGGATGAGGGGTTCTTTCTGGGGAGAGAGTCTTGAGGGGTCAACACATTGTCCTTGTCTTTGTCTGAATACTCTTGTTCCAGAAACAATGTTTGTGTAGCTCAAGGAGTATCAAGTCAGAAAGAAAAGCAAGACTGGGCCATTCCAGATGCAGACAGCCACCTTTGAGATTCTCAACCCCAAACCAAAAGGCTGTCCTGGCCGAGCACAATGAATGGCTCATGCCTATAATCCCAACACTTTGGGAGGCCAAGCTGGGCGAATCATGAGGTCAAGAGATGGAGACCATCCTGGCCAACATGGTGAAACCCCATCTCTACTAAAAATACAAAAATTAGCCAGGTGTGGTGGCACGTGCCTATAGTCTCAGCTACTCGGGAGGCTTAGGCAGGAGAATTGCTTGGCAACAGAGCGAGTGTCTGTCTCAGAAAAAAAAAAAAAACTGTCCTAACAGACATACCACATTATCTTCTTCAGTGCCCAGATAATCTGTTCATACAATGGCCAGATGGTGTCTTTGGGCACCTTTGGATTTCCTCCTCAGCCCTGGGTGGGCAGTGTGTGTGGCGGGAGGTCAGCAAGGGGAATGGGCCTTAATTATTATTGCTTTTCTTACTGTTTCTTCTTTGAGTAAAGAGAAACAAGGAGGAGAGATGTGAAAGAACAGTACAGAGAAGAGGTCATTCACTGCTACCCTGCCTGCTCTTCAGCAGCTAAAAGTCCTGAAAGTTCCCTAGCAGACCTCCACAAACCACAACCACATGTCCTGCCTCTAAATGGCTGCCAGAGAGGAATCACATCCTCTCGTTTACTTTTTTTTTTTTTCCAAGTCTCTCAGCAGTTGAAACTCCTACTTGTTCTTTAAGGCTTAATCAGAATCACCTCCTGAGCCCAGTCCTTCTGGTTTATACTTCCTTAGCATCCAGAGGTGACCCTATTGCAGGATGTGTAGGATAAGCTGTAATTATGTCTTGGTTGTCTCCCCTGCCAGCCTCTGAACTCCTTGAGGCCAAAGCCATCTTATTTATCTCTGTAGCCTAAATTCTTAACATGGGGCATATCAAACCTCAATCATTTGACAAATGTTGATCAAAATTAACTGAATTCTAACAGTTCCCTAAAATCACCTTCTCTGTCTTGCTAGTGGCACTAAAGTGTGTATTTTTCTTCACTTACAACAAAATTTCCTGATTGCTTCTCAGTAGCTCACTTGATAACTGAACTAACTGGAAAGCAACACACATTCAGAACCACGTCACCAATAGGGCTGGCCCAGCCTTTTTTGATGTCTGCTAACCAAAGTCAGTGCTTTACATGTGGAACACCCTCAAGACATGCTTGTTGAATTGACCTGATGGTGCCCGTGATCTCAACTCCCCAGAGAAGTTGACCATCTGCCAAATAGAGTACAGTATGTCTGAATTATGTTAAGTAGCTGACAAAGTTCAAGTGAGGAAGAAAATTACCAATCCCTCCTGGAAGTGGGCTGAAAAGAAGGGCTTTCTTGCTTCCAAAATGTCCTAACATCTTGCTAAACACTGGTATCTGTTTGCCTCCAGCTTGCTGCTCCTAATGTTTGCCAACTGGCCAAGAATGTTTGTGTCTTTACCAACCATCTTCCCCCATTGTACCCACATTACTTCCTTCCCGAGCTGGCAACATCACAGGCACTACCTTGTAAGCACTGTACAGGCGCCAAAGGTGAATACCCATCCCTCCGCCGAGGAGACCACGCCCCTCGAAATGACCCAGTGTTTCCCCTATTCTGCATAAGTGTGAGTAGTATGTCACCACAATCACAGGCCCTCCCCTCCTCTGCTCCCTTCCTGTTGCCCTCTTAAATCACATATAATCTGACTGCCACGATATGATTAAAGACACTGAACCCTCATTCCAAGTACACAAGTCCTTCTGGAGACAGACTGGCCTCTAGTGTTTGACTGAATGACCACCTCCATGCTCTTCTCTCCTCCATGCTGTTCTCACCTCTGGCTGTCGTAGCTCTCCTCTGCCTCTCCAAGCTCTCCTGGGAGGGCTCACTAACTCCTCTCTTCCTCTCACCGTCTAACTCTGAGCAGTCCTCAAAGCTGAACACTTAGGTTCTCTGTGCAGCTAGCTCTCTCCTCCCACTGCCCAAAAGACTCTGCTGCCGTTTTCAGACACGTCTTCTTACACTTAAATGTATTTCATTCTTTATCCTTTACATACCTCAGTGCTCCAAGGTGACCAGGTTCCCAGTCCTACATCAGGGCACCCCCAAACCCATAGCTCCCCGGTTCTATATGGTATACTTCAGTACCATAGCCTGGTATGTTTTCTAGACAATCTCATTCAAATCACCAGCTGTCACCACAAATTCAACGTCTCCCCTCTCCAAACTAGCTTCCTTTCCCAGCATTCTCCTTTCTTCCATTGGACCTCCATTTTTCTAAGGCACCAAGGAAGTACATGACTTTAAAAAACAAGAGAAAGTGATGAGAGAAGAAAACCCCTAGTGACCTTTGTATTTAGAAAGTAGCAAGAAACTGTTAATACCAGCACTCTAATGCAGAGGTTAAAGATGTGGATTTCTAGGACCTGTCCCCAGAGACTCTGATTCAAGAAGGCTAAAGCTATGGCCCAGGAATCTGCATTTCACAATGGCCCTGAGTGAGTCTGATGCAGGCAGCTGTAGGTCACATTCTGGGAGACTGGATTTTAGCAGTTGGATATAGGATAAAGCAGACAGGCTAAAAATGTGTAAATGCCCAAAGATGGCTTTAAATAGAAGCAATAAACTGTTACAAAGCTCTGTTGCTTAGGGATTTTTACTAAAACCATAGAACCAAGATAGACCACAGAGTTTATCTGATCCAATGTCTTCATTTAACAGAAAAAAACTGAAGCTCAAAGGAGCTCAGGTGCCTACAGAAGGCCACACAAGCCCAAAGCAGAATGTTTATCCTCAGTGACAAAGGCTGTCCTTCCATTGAAGTAGTAAAGGAAATAATCACGAAAATACACACTCAAAGGCTTAAAACAGCTTTTTACAAATGTGCAAATGAACTGCCTGAGGCTTTTTTTAATAGCAGATTCCAATTCAGCAAGGAGGGGCCTGAGATCCTGCATTTCTAACAGGCTCCCAGGTGATGCCCTTGCCGCCAGGTCACCACCATCCACCCTTTGAGCAGCAAGTCTTAGAAAGTAAAATAACTGCTCTTCCGTTGTTCTAAATAAATAGTCTACTTTTTTACAACAAGCACTTGTGCCATAGAATGTGCTCTGCTCCTGGTGTCCTCAGCTGTACCACGTGGAGTGAGTGGACTCGCTACAGTGCTGCCCCTCAGGCCCCCAATCACCTGTTGACAGTCAGCAGAGATGGCACCTAAAACAAAGGTACTCAAACCTCAGCCCCTGACTGTTACTGTAACAATCATGTTGAAAAGTGTCATGGCCTGATGAAAACTGGGGATTTAAAAAGATATAGCAACATACTGTTCTTGAAAACATATTTAGAAAATTAGATTATTTCATTTTGAAGAAAGCTTTCAAATTAAAAATAAATATCCTTGTCTGGAAATACATGTGGAACCAAACAAGAGGGTTTTATTTGGAACTAGGAAATAAAGAGGTACTTAGTGCCATTGTTATGAAGAAAAGCTGGATGATACCCAGAAAAAGAATGGTGAACTGGCAAGGAAGTAGGCTGTGGTGCCGTATTGCCTGGCTTCAAAACTTGGCTCTGTCACTTACATGCTGTGGGATTAGGAGCGAGTCATTTAACCTCAGTTTTCTTATCTGTAAAATGGAGTTATTATGAAAATTAAATGAGTTACTACAGAAAAAAGCATTCAGCATGAAGCCTGACACATGGTGGGCATTCAGTACAAACTGGCTCTAAACACTACCAGAGATCTGAGTGCAGCAATGAACCACAGTTTAGTTAATTCAGCAACAGGGAGCTCAGTCTGATCAGTCACAAGGTAGAATTCTCCCCTGTATTTGCCTCCCTCCCCAGGGGCAGTGTCATAATTGTGTAGTTGCACAGGGTCTTCAGAAGGCCCTGTGTTTGGGATTTAAGGCCCTATGGTCACTGTCTCAAATTTCTTAATAATTTAATTTTTGAATCTATGTTTTGTAAGTGAAGTCTGATAGAATAAAGGAACATGTGCTGGGAGTTGGGACCTAGGCTTATTGAGAGTCCACCTCCAGCCACCTGCTAAGGACAGGCTCTTGGCTAACCATTTCCCCAATCACTGAGGCCCCGGGCCTTGCCTAGCTTCCCACCCCTTCCACCTAGCAGAGGGAAGGTGGAGGTCAGGTGCACATACCCCACAATGTCTCCAGGCAAGTCATGGTGTCAGCCATCCCTCCCTTGAACTGGCAGCACCATCACAGCATGCTCAGCAACTCAGCAGCAAGCCTCCTGCCCACCCACAATCCAGGTGCCTAGCACTTCCCTGTGCTTGCAATATCCTTGGAGGCTGTCCACTCTGGGTTGAAGCAGCAGGCCCATGAAAGAGAGACAGCTGGAACAATTTCTCTGCTTCTGGCTAGGGCTCAGTCCTGCCACTGGGGGAAGCGGGAACCCAGCAGCCAGTAGGTCATGTGCACCAAATCACAAAGTAAGAAGAGAGCCAAACACCTGTGAGGTTTGCACTGGCTCCTAAGTAGCTTGTGCGCTAAGGGAGCACAACATCAAATAGCAAATATAACACACAGTGACAGGTCAAGAAAGAGACAGTAAAAGAAAGGAAAGCATTTTATATATTAACACCTACAATAGTACTTTTTTTTTTTTTTTTTTTTTTTTGCCATTTTTGAACAAGAAGCTTCACATTTCCATTTGACCTGGGCCCAGCAAAGTATAGAGCTGATGCTGACTATGAGCATCTGGCCCGCACCCTAAATGCTCTACCTGGTGCTGCTTTCACCTCCCCTTCATCTTATGTTTGGTGGACCAAGACCTAACCCTTTCTCAGAAAGGACTCCCTGATATAGACTCTAATAAATACCAGTCAGCCTCAAAAATGGTCACCAAAGCCAATAGGGAATGGAGAGAAAGAGTCCCTTGAGAATCAAAGCCACTTGGAAGCTAAGAGATTCTCAGGAGAAGCCTGGCAACCTACACAATGGCAACCAGGCTGAGTGGGGATAAAAAGCACCAAAATTTCTCCCAGAAAAGATTTATTCCACTATCCCCATGGTTCCCAAACTATGCACCAAGACACCCTGGGCCACCATAGAAAATTCATAGTGGCTCTGTGAATTTTTAAATTTTTGAGGGAAACCCATCAAATGCTTGGCATCTGTCAGATATTGCATAAGCTACTAGCACAAAGTAGTTCTCAATTTCAACCTTAAATCACACTCCATACCTTTCAATGTCTTATCTTTGCAAAACTGGATTTGGAGCAATTTCTATGATAAAAAGCAAGCACAGCACAAAAATCAATGGAGAACAGGAAGTAAAGGAAGCAATATGCAATCTGAGTCCAGCCTCTGAGAAGCTGTGCAGTGCCCAACAGGCACACACATCTCATTGATAAGTAACTATGGTTTGTTAAAAATGAAATAAAAGTACTTTTCTTGGGGAGACTGAGGAGGAAATGCTGGACAAAGACTACAAAATTTAAGTTAGCCAGGAGGAATACATTCAAGAAATATATTGTATAACATGGTCATTATAATTAATAACAGTGTACTGTATACTTGAAAATTGCTAAGAGGGTAGATTTTAAGTGTTCCTATCACAAAAAAAAAATATATTTGAGGTAGTGCATATGTCAATCAGCATAATTTAGCCATCCCACAATTTCAAAACATTATGTTATACACTACAAATATATAGAATTATTTGTCAAAAAGTAAATAAGAAAAGAAGAAAAATACTTTTAATTTATATGCATCATTTTTTCAAATGCCTGTTAGATTGTTAGACCATTAGTACTTGTTGTTTGGATCTAATACTTAATCAACAAATCTAAGTATTCTGTTTTACCTAAGGGTGCCACAGAAAACTTACTGAGATGTCAAGGTACTGTGAACTGAAAAAGTTTAAGGATCTTCACACTATATAATTCCTTTTTTTCTTCTATAATGAGAGTCTCAGGAAGGAAGGGACAAGGAAGAGGATTACAAGGAACACATAACCAATGGAATCAGAGCTAGTCCCAGCCAAGTATAAATCAACAATCAACACAGAGTGACATTTCTCACAATTATGTTTAAAGAAGCTACTATTAAGATTCAAACTTTAACTTGAATGTTTACAATATGGAAATAATATAGTTTTTTAAATACATAGGAATATATCAAATAAATCTAGACTCTTTCATCTTCAGCCTGGAAGATGACTGATCCAATTTGGAAAACATTAAGACAGATGTCAAATCTATGAGTGAAGGGTGAGAAGACAGATACTAGAGGGAAGCTTACTGATTTAATTGGGCTGGATCAATTCTAGTAAGGAATTCCCAGAAAAATCCAATTGCAGGTCAAGGCTGAAGTCTGCCATGCTGAGCCAAGCCACAGATAAGGCTGGTGCTCTCAGGTACCACAGGAGATACATAGATCCAAAACTTTCAAGCTTGAGAAGGAGGAAAAAGGTAATTGGAAGAGAACTGGATCAAAAAGCAGGAAGGGCCCCTCTTGGTTACTGAATAAAAGCACAAAGGTAAATAGACATCTTTAGTTTACAATCTGTTTTACTTGTGGCCAGAAGGACTCTTTGGTCCACCCAACAAAATGAGTTAACTCATCCCAAGGACTCGAGAACACAAATATAGGGCATCACCAAAGACACAGAGAAAGATATATGGGCAGCTCTGTTATTATGAACTGAAGAGGGGAAATTATACATCTAAAGACCACCAGGCTAAAGGATAATATTCTGTGGGGAATTTGGATGCTAAAACAGTTTGGCTGTGTCGCCACCCAAATCTCATCTTGAATTGTAACTCCCACCTACTGTGGGAGGAACCCAGTGGGAGGTGACTGATTTATGGGGGTAGGTCTTTCCTGGGCTGTTCTGGTGATGGTGAATGAGTCTCACAAGCTCTGATGATTTTAAAAATGGGAGTTTGCACAAGCTCTCTCTGCCTTTTGCCATCCCTGTAAGACATAACTTGCTCCTCCTTGCCTTCCACCATAATTGTGAGGCTTCCCAGCCATGTGGAACTGTAAATTCATTATAAGCCTCTTTTGTAAATTACCCAGTCTTGGGTATGTCTTTATCAGCCACATGAAAAGGAACTAATACAGATGCCCTGTCTCACTTTCTTAATGTATCAGATAGGCTGACCCGTCAAGTTGAAACCCCAGGCCTAGGGAATAAACCTGGACACATGCAGACTCACTGAATTGAAAGGACAGAGGGTCCTTGAGCAGCAGAAATGATGAAGCCTCACAGGATGGCTTGTTCCAGAGAGAAGTAAGGAGGCAGCAGCTTATGACATCAAGAACTGTGCCTTGGCTAGGTTCTTTCACTGGACTCCACCACCCAGGCCCAGGCTCCTTCTGCTTGAGAGTTGGCACCCATACAAGTGCTGGCAGGGCCAAAGCAAGGAGACTCCTCAATCAATAAGGACTGCTGCAGCTAAACTCACATCTCCTTCCCCTCTCTCCTCTGGCTCCTGCTTCTGCAAATGCCCTGGATGCTGAATGCATCGTATACTCCCATCCATGATTGACCTTTCACCATTTCATCTTCTTGGCCTTTATCTATTTTCCTGACTCCTGGCCTATTGCTGGCCTGATTCTGGCCAGGTTTTCCCCTCTGGTTCTCATACTTGATCATTCTATAAACTATAAGAATGTCTTGACCTTTAAAACTTGCTTCTGTTCCCTCAATCCCAGTTCCTCACTCTCTGCCCAGCTTCCAGAAAACTGTCCTCATACCTGAAGACAGAGTGGCAAAAGAGGGGGTGGTGTGGTGGGAAGCACTAAGAAAAACAACAGGACCCGGTCTGAAGGCTTAATCTCCAGAGGAAGAAGCAGTCTGAGGATCATCTTCCCCACCAGCTCTTCACAAAGCCAAATGTGGTAAGGGATAAATCAATGGCAGTTAAAACTCCTTCTAAGAGAGAGGAAAAAGATCTGGCAGGGCCAGCCATTATGGATAACTCTGGGGAAAAAGATTTGCCAAATATCCAATTTAAAGAACTTGGAGTTTCTGAGAAAATTCAAACAAAACTTTTCTCCTTTCAAAAAATCCTCTTACAGACCAAGAGAGAAAACAAATCATGTTAAGGAGTAGTTGTTACATATAGATTATAGCTATGCTAACATTATTGACTGAACTTTCCTGGGAAGCCCATAAATATTTGGTGGCTCCTATAAAAATATAAACTAAGGATACTGTAACTGGCTCAGAAGTTAGCTTGTACAGCTCATCTAGACTGGCAAGACTGGAGGTTTGCTGTGGCTGGATTTCTAACGGCTAGAGACAGACACCAGCCAGTGGCAGGTTATTATACATTTTGTGTGTCATTTCTAAGAACGAGGACCCCCAGGCATAAGATAATCATTATCGGATGCATTTTCCCAGAGTTGAGATAAGCTAAATTATCAGAGACCCCATAGACTCTCAAGAGATTAAAGGAACATCAGTGATAATCCATTTCAGCACTTTCACTTTACAGTGAAGAAACTCAGGCCCAGAGAGGTACAGTGGCCTGCCCAGAATCACAGAGGAAACCAGAGCATAATAGCTGAGAGCAGCATACAGGAATCCCCTCTTCAGGCTGGGGACATACCCCTTTACACCATGCTACAGACATAGAACTGCACAAGGCAGCCAGATGACTTGGGGTCTCCACTGACATCCAAAGAAAGACTTCCAGTGATCAAATTTTGGGGGATTCCTCTCCCCTCAAAAGAAGATAAACACAAATTTCCTTTCAAAACCTGAGCGACGCTTGCAAAATGCCCCCTCACCTACAGCATACACAAGACCTGCAAGGCAAGGGGCTGGCAAAAAGTTAAACCCTGAAAGGGAGGTTAAAGTACAAAGGATTAAAAGTCCTGACACTTGAAGAGATAAACTGCCTCCTTTGTTCTTAATCTGCACAAAGGCTCCCCAGGAATTCAGAAGGCTGTCACCATTCAAGCTGACATACGCAAAGGTCACATTAAATCCAACAACCCAGAAATGGAAAAGAGAACAAAGCTTCAGTGCTGGGGGTCCTGGAAGGAGTGAATGAATAAGGCGTGTGTCTGGGTGCAGAACCACTGCATAAGAATGAAAAAGACTTGGCATGAGGAAAAAACGGCACCTACTAGAGTGCTTGAAAGAGATTGCCCTCCTCCTCTGTATTAAAGAGATTAAGGATGGGATTTTAGAGTGCCACCTCTATAGTCAGATCTCATCAAATCTGAAGTTCCATTGCTCTATGGCCTCCAGGAAACCTAAAGTAACATGTGATCACACACTCAACCCATGAGTCTGTCAGAGAGGACCTCCACTGGAGAGCTGCCTTCGTCTTTCTCATAAGAAAAAAAAAGTCTAAGGGGGGAAATCACAAACAGGCCTATTCAATGCCTAGAATCATGCTACATAGAGTAATTAAGGTGGTCTAAAAATATGTCTCGGAGAATGACTTCTATGCATAACAAGTTGAATAAATACTTCAAAACAAACTAGATAGAATAGAGCGAATAGCTGTCAGAGCTTAGAAACTAGGCCAGGGTAGAGAGAAGAAATTAGATGACCTCCTTTTGGATTCAAGAGGTGTATCTGGTGGCATCAGGAGCAGGGAAGAGGAAACATTCTCGCTAACTGTTGGCAGACTTCTGTGAACCCTGCACTCTTCCAACACTCAGTTGTCCCAGCGCAAAATCCAGACATTACCATCAGATTCTATGAAATAACAAAAAATTAAATTGTATAACCAAGTCCTATGCATGCCCTCTGCTAGAAGTGATACATTACAAAATCTGTTGGCAAATGCTAAAAATCATTTCTGTTATCGATATATGTAAAAGTTTTTGGCAAATGGAATCCAAAGCCCCTTCCCCCAGAAGTTTACCATTCTACTCTCTGAGATGAGGAATTCACCCACTTTCTTCTTAAAGTTCAAGGGTCCTGATGGTTAATGGCTGAGTAAGCTATTTGCCATAACTTCTACTAATTAAAAAACTGTATTCAGCTAGATTATATAGATGATAAACTCCTAGAGATCCTTTGGTTGGAACCACTGATAATCGCAACCCACACAGTTAAAGTTAATAAATGTAAATCAGGACTTCCAGAAATCCAGGTTACAGGAAAAGAATATATAATAATCCTCAGCAAAACTGTATCATACAACTCACAAAGCTCCTACTGCTGAGATACAAATTAGTTCATCTGTGGACAATAGAGTCTTGACTACCCTGTTGTATAGGTCAGTTGGCCAAAGTTTCCAGTTTAGGAAAGACAGTTTGAAGGTCCCTTGTCTGGTGTCTGGAGTCGGGCAAAATGTGGTAAGGCTGGCTAACTGAGCACCATGAAAATAGGGGCCACCTGTTAGGGAAAGGCCTTACAGGTACATCCTGAGGTTCCACCCTAGCTTCAGGGAAGTGTCAGGACTGGAACCGAAGGAAAAATTACCCCAGAGTTCTGTGAAGTTTGCATAGCAGTCAGGTAGGGAAGGAGGATATTTAGCATGTTCTCCATGTGCCTCCAGAGGCTTCTACAACATTTTATTTTATTTATTTTTAAGTGATGGGATCTTGCTATGTTGCCCAGGGCTCAAGCCATCCTCCCACCTTGGCCTCCCCAAGTACTGGGATTATAGGTATGAGCCACCACACCCAGCCACTTCAGCCTTTTAAACAAAGCAGCAAAAGGAAGATACAGAGGAGGGTATGGTACTGCAGCTCATGCTGAAAAGACCCAAGCCTCTCATATGCAGCCATCTCTACCTAGCCTAGGGTTTTCCTGTTGCCTAGGAAACAGTCACAAAGCATATTGGGAAGGTTAGCTTAAGTATCTAGGTGCAGTCTCTATGGCTTATCTAGGACAATTCTTGACCCAAGCCTGACTTTACTCCTATATCTGAGCTTTGTATTTGGCTAGAAATCTGAGGATTTCCCCATTTTGCACACTGCAGACACTGTCCCTGGGAAGGGAAAAAAATTAATTTGACACAAGCAATCAATCCCACTTGAATATTTATGCACAACAAGCCAAGTGGAAATGGATCTTTTTTTTTTTTTTTTTTTTTTGAGACAGAGTTTTGCTCTTGTTACCCAGGCTGGAGTGCAATGGCACAATCTCAGCTCACCGCAACCTCCGCCTCCTGGGCTCAGGCAATTCTCCAGCCTCAGCCTCCTGAGTAGCTGGGATTACAGGCATGTGCCACCGTGCCCAGCTAATTTTTTGTATTTTTAGTAGAGATGGGATTTCACCATGTTGACCAGGATGGTCTCGATCTCTTGACCTTGTGATCCACCCGCCTCGGCCTCCCAAAGTGCTGGGATTACAGGCGTGAGCCACCGCGCCTGGCCGGAAATGGATCTTAAAGAGAACATTTCTGCTAGGTGATGAGAATTTTAATGCTGAAAAATGACATTGTGTCAAGAACCCAACACAATCAAACGAGCATACACATTCATATCCAAAGCATGAGCAACATCATGTGCATGCACACAGCACATATAAGCATACGTAAGCATGCAGACTTGCCCAACTTGTGGGAAAAGTTGTCTGAGTATATAATTGTCCAATCATCAGTCACTCTGAGTTTTCTTTTTGATGTTTTGCATTCAAAATATGTAAAGAGTTTGAAGAATGGAGCAGTGCTAAACCCTTTTACAGTAGAAGCTATAGCAGCGTGTCAAGTGTTCCTATATTCCTATGTGATTCCTATGATGTCAGGCTTGGTCCATCAGCCTTTACCCACAACCCAAAACCTGAAGATTGTATGAGACTTCACCCGTAATCTAAGCCAAAACCTGGAGATTATCTGAGACTTCACCTCTCCTTCAGTCCTGACATCAACTAGACAGTAAATCCTGCAGATGCCCCTACCATTAAATTTCTTGTATCATCAACTATATTTCAGTAGTTTCCTAACTAGAATTCCTATCTCCAATTTTGTCCTTCCAATGCTATATTAACCCTCTAAATTAGATTTTTTAATTCCATCACTTCAATTCTTAAAATCCTTTATAACTCCCTGGTGCTTATAAGATAAAACCCAAATCCAGAATCAGGCATATGCCTGGAGTCCCAGCTACTCAGGAGGCTGAGGTGTGAGGATCGCTTGAGCCCAGGAGGTCAAGGCTGCAGTGAGCTATGATTGTGCCACTGTACTCCAGCCTGTGTGATACAGTGAGAGCCCATATCTTTAAAAATTGAATCAAAATCCTAGAATATAAAATCAACTCCTGAGAAAATCCAAGACCTCACATGCCTCTCCAGTCCCTCTCTCCCTACAATCCTCTAATTCTCCATGATGTTTACCCAACTCTCTGCATTTGCTCACCTTTCTTCCTCTGCTAGGAATGTCCCTTCCCATTTGTCACTGTGGATAATGAACCCCTCTTCCAAACGCCACTCAATCAACTCCTACTCTATGATAATCACCATATCCACCAAAATACACTTAATTCCTCGTTTATGTCCCCATTATCCACTAGTATAGTCTTATACCTAGAAGGCTTTAGTGTACTTTTTAGAAATCTAGTATGTTTCTCTCCATCAAAATGTAAATTCTCTAAAGCTCTAGAAAATGTGGAAGAAAGGAGAGTTCTGTGTGGAAGGAAATGTGAAGGAAAGCCAAGATGGCAGCTTGCCCTATTTCTCTTTTTGAGATGCTGGAGTTGGGCTAGGATTGCACATGCCCTAAGAAAAGAAGATTCTGGATTGCTTTTTACCATTTTCTCCATCTGACACAAAAGAAGAAAAGTTCAAGGACATGGGCTAACAGGAAGATCAATAAGTTAGTCCTCACTGTACCTTGGAAGAGCCAGAAGAAAGGCAGTCCCTAATGAAGGTATTATCTAGGGTGTTTAGGCACACAGACTTGGAATCCAAAAGAAAAGGCTGAGGAAGTGTAGCCTTTTTAACACAGGCCCAGAAATCCCAGAAACATGATTCTTCTTTGAAAAGATTTTAAGAACCAAAATAGTTTGAGGCCACTCATTTGCTGACCATCAGGATGATTCTACCCAAGGGGATTAGTGCTCCTGTTCACCATATAAGGATGCTGGGTCACTTCTGAGTTCTGGCATCAGGGGAACTGACCAAGCAGTCTTGAGCTGCAGAGATGAAAGACCTCAAAAAGGTAAAGTCTCCAGAGAACCAGGCATAAAGGTCCTGAAACCACTTACCACCTGGTTCCTATGCCCCTGGGCTTCCCTGTCCCTCACTGCTACCCATTCAGCTCATAATATTATAGATGGAAGACGTGTTAGAGACCTTCTAACTCGACACCCTCTTAAGCCTCAGAGAGGGAGAGACTTGCCTAAGCTTAGCAGTAACAACAGTGTTCCGAAACCTAGCCCATGGCACTTTCCACATGAACCCAAGCATCTGACTCCATCACTTACCTGTTGTGTTACTTTTGCTTTGTACTTGCCCCTCACAGCTTGACTTGTCAGTCTACCAGTTTCTGCCCCCTTCACAGGGGACAAAGTTCCCAGTTTCCCTGGTCAAAATAGAAATACTGCTCAAAGCTCCTAGTGCTGTTTGAACTCCCATGGCCCTGGAGTAAGAACAGTGTATAAAACACAAAAGTTTTCCTGCATCAAAAGAGGTGAAAGAATTTTGGATAAAAACAACAGCAAGCAAACAATGCCACCACTACGGAGTTACCTAGAAAGGTAAGGAGAAACCAGACCAAACCATTAGTCATGTTTATCAGACCAAACACCAACCTCTCAGAAAGCAGCAATGCAGCTCCATAATGTAATCCACTTCCACTCCATCGTTCTCCTAAGACCAGGAGCTCCCTGAAGACAGACACTGTGACATATGCCCCTGAGTCCATGATCTGTAACAAGGGCTCACTAAATCCTTTCTGGAAAAATCAATAATATCATACCCTTGCATGTTTACACGCGCATAAGCACATACATGTATATACATGGAATCTCAATGAAGGCAATCTCAGGAGCTTCATTTCTAAACCTTTCTTCCCCCAAATTATTGTTTTAACTAGGGTAATACTTTTTAAAATATAATGTACTTTCCTCTTTTGCATGTCTTTATATATATTTAACCTCCTCCTTACTCTGCCAGAAGCATCTATTTGCCTCAAGGAAGTTTAGGATAGTTATAGCAGCAGGCAAAAAAGAAAGTGTCAATGTTCAGCTGTTGACATCCAAAATAGGATTTTTTTAGTATGCAGCTTGAATTCTCAAGCTCCCACTAACATATTAAGATACAGCCTGGGTGGACCTGACCATTTAGGTTTTCTTTAAACCAGAGACAGAGAGTACTGAAGATATGACATAGGAGAGATCCCTGCCATAAGGATAGAGGGAAAACCCTTTTCCTCAGGCATCTGGGGAACATGGGAAAAATTCAGTCTAGATCAGATACCCGGGTCTCAGGCTCCACTATATATACTCCCACTTCAAGGCTCAATCAGAGCTTGGGGAACAGTTTTAGAAATATCCTAATAGTTGTGATGGTACCTGAGAACCCTAAGGGACTCCTGAGGTGTTGCAGGCCTCTAGAAAAATGCCTACCTTTTCACCAATTGTGATGTGCAGGGGAGAAGATGGTGATGAGCAGACGAAAACACAGCTCTGGCCAAGGTGAGTGTGTAGTTAGGGAGCCAAGTGCAGAGGTTCTATCTTCTCACAGTTGACCCGTAGCAAGCTGGGATCCATATACTTCTTCATTTCCTGATGGTGGTACTCAGTCAGTGACTAGGGAAAGGCCTGGAGTCAGGACTAAGAGGCTGCTATAGGTAGGGCCTTTGACCCCATAGGCAGAAAGTAGGACATAAATTTTAGTGCTGGGTATTAGCACAATATTCCAAAAAAACAAGAGAGGTCGACAGACCAGCCCTGCCCCCTGTGAAGCAAAGACCAGGGGAATCTAGCTATCTTGCCTTGGCTCCAAGCACCCTTCTTCTTTTGCTCCTATCACTACCAACACATGTTCATGTAAACACCTCTATGCACCCAGACCCCACTCTGAAGAGAAGTGAAGGAACATGAGAAAAATCTGAGCAACTGAGCAATTTACCTAAAAGAAACAGTCATCCAAAAGAGAATAATCCAGAAAAAAATAATAATATAAACTAGCAAAATGGGGGTGGGGGCTTATCAGAAAGACTGGCTCCACTTTAGAAAATTTGAAAAGCTACAATTTCTTTGCACATCTGGGTAACAAGAAGTAAGTGTGCAACTGAACTACACTGTTACCCACCAGAAGGAAACTTCAGCCATTCTGGGCAGTTAGATGAGCTACTCTTCCATTCTCATGCAAACATCTCTTTTCCAAAAGCAAATGGAACATGTCGTGAAAAGTTTCACTCCATCTCTAGTGCTGCCAATTTCTTTACAGACATGAAAAAATGTATAGTCCTAAAGTGCAGTATGGGCTGTCACTCCCATCTGAGTCCCCTAGCTCAGCTTTCAACCACACTCAAAACTAAAGGAGACCCCAGAGAAGCAGCTGACACAATCCCTTTTCATTTAGTCAGCAATTTTGTCTTTCCAAAGCATTTTCTTTCTATCATCTCACTTTATCTCATACTATTCCTATGAGGTATGGCATGGCGAGTATGTTTACCGCTTTCTTTGAATGAGGAAAGAGAGATCCCACTGTAAAAAGAGGCATATTACTGGGTTTGGCCAAGTCACAGAGCTATTTAGTGGTGGGTAGAATTAGAAACCAAGGTCTCCCGAATGACATTCTTGGAGTCTCCTAGCCAAGAACAGGCTATAGCTTTTGCACACACAATCTAAAGTGCTGCCATAGCTAACTGTGGTATTGGAATTAACTTACATTCAAGCCTAAGAACACATGTGGCTTTTTAGGCTAATTGAGACTGCAAATCTGGCTCCTAAGGCACACTGAAAAAGAGGTCAAGAATGGTCTCTACCATTTATTTAAATGTCACTAACAAAAGTGTCCTTAAACATTACACAAAAAATTATCCTTCAGAGAACAGGGACTGATTGTTCTTCCTCTCCTGAGGATAAAGGCAGAGAAAACAGCCCAAACCTACAGTTGTCCTACAGTCACCTTTGAATAAGATCAAAAAAATGAATGGCCTTTCTTGCTACTCTTTGGACCAAATAATGTCCCAGAACAAACACCAGTCCACAGAAAATCTGGGTTATAAATGTCTATCATTAGGAGAATGGTTTAACAAAATAACACATCCTCACAATAGAATGTAACACAACTGTTAAAACAAATGAGGTAAAGCTGTAGGTAATGACAAAGAAAAATGTCCCTGATTATAAAATGATAAAAACAAGTTATAGAATAACAGGTAGAGCATGATCTTCTTTTTATTAAATGAAATAAAAGCTATGCATTTGTATAAAGATGCATATGCAACAGGTACATGCATGTATCTGTTGAATTTATCTAAACATAGGGGAGGAAGAGGGAGAAAGAATATTCACTTTGACCATATATCTTGTACTTTTGTTTGCGTAAATATTTTTTACAATAGTGTCAATACCTTTACTCCCCAAACAATGAATGGATCCTCTGTCTTCCTATGTTACCACCATGTAAATGTCAATCAGCTTATAAATGTCTTATTTTGTTCAATAGATATATGTGAAGGAATGTATCATATATTTAAGTTAGCTGGAAAAAATGTCCGCATTTTGGACAAATTCTACCCCCTCCATTTGTTTTTCATCATAATTCAATAATCAAAAAACAAACCATGGATCAAGGGAGAGAATCCACATAGGAAAATGGACCAGAAGGAAATACTGCATATCAGCAAACAGGTGTTCTCTCTGGGTGATAGAATTACAGTGGCTTTTCTATCCTCTATATTTCATCATATTTTTTAAATGCCCTACAGTTAGCCAGAATTATAATAAGGCTTTATATTTTTAAAAACTTCAATATAAAAACTGTTCCATGAAGGTATACCTAAAATTGAGTCTTTCCAAATAAAATCTTGTTTTACCACTTACTTAAATTAAATGATCTCTTAGGGCTTATAGACAATAAATATACATTAAATGAATCAATGAATGACAAAAACTCCCTTTTTGATTGTTCTCCAATTAGCTATCATTTTCCTAATCCAACAAGATCACAAACTTTTCAGGGACAAGAATCATGTGATAGCCATTTTCAGTAGCCCCCTTAGTACCTGCATAATACTAGGCACATGACAGACATTCACTAAATATTGATTAGTTGATCCATTTGCATGATTGGACTTTCCTGAGTCTTTCAAAAAGAAGAGCGAATCTTTATTTTTCTAGTGCCTATAAAATATGTGAATATTTATAAGCAAGTGATAAAAGAAGTCACCTCTAAGTAATCCACACAACAAATAGCCTATTTTACAGTCCGTGTTGACTTGACAGATCTTTTGTTTAAAGCAGAATTGCCTGTCCACGAAAAAAAAGATACATTTCTTTATCACAGTGTTTCATTATAATACTCCCAAATAGCTTAATACCAATAAGTAGCTTTTTTGAAAAAAAAATCAGGCCAACAAATACTAATGGAACAAGTATTATCTGCAAGGCACTAACCTGGGCATTGACAAAATACAGACAAGTCCAAAGCAAAGGGTGTGTACAACCTACTTGGAGAAACCAGACATAAACGTTTTCCAAAGTAGGGCCTCCAAAAGGCCTTAAAGCCATTGATGTTCCATAGGTTTGGGGAAGAGAATGGTATTCAAACAAGTCAAATGCACACCTCATCCTCACCCAACATATCGTCCAAATCACCAGCCAAAAACAGTTTTTAGCCCCACTCCAGAGCCTCCAGGGCTGAGCAAGAGTTGGAACCAGGCATACTCAGCCCAGTCTGAAATTAACTGAACTGATCTTTTTTTTATGCAATTTCCACTCATTCTCCAGAGAATGGATTCAGTCCATCTCCTCTCGTCCCAGGCTCCCAGCATCTCCCAGTGCTTGCAGATGACCATGGCTCCCATTCAGGAAGATGACTGAGGTCAGCTTAATAAGAGCTCTAGCAACCGACCTGAAAAACACCTGGTTTTTCCACATAGCCACAGAAGAAAAGGTGATTATCCATCCCAGAGATAACCTTTTTGCCCAGGAATCTCATCCTTTTCTGACTTTTCAGGAAGCTAGTAGCCACCCTGGTACCCCACTCACACATATACCACCTTCTAACATTTTAAGTCTCTACCATTGTCTCTTCCTATGACTTTTTCAAACATTCAAAGGTTTTTCTCTATTTGAAAGAAAAAAAAATTTCACTGGACCTGATAACCTTTTAAAATTTTTGAATGAAGAATAATACACATGCATAAAATTGCACATAAGTTTACAGCTCATTAAGATTTCACAAAAGGAACACACCTGTGGTCTAGAAGCAGAACAAGATCAGTATCCCCAAAATGTCCTTTTTATTACCATCTTATTTTTCTCCTTACTTTTATTACCAAGCTTCTTGAATAGTGGTCTATGCTCCTATTCTTGTTTGCACCACCTTTTCATTTATTTCAACCCAAGCCCTCCTTCTTCAATGAATCTTCCCCATGTCCATCCGGGTGAGGTTGTTGATCCTTCCTCTGTATATTAGTGTGCATTCCTCTTTACTGCACTTATCATACTACACTGCAATCACGTTTATGTATCAGGCAACCCCCCTCCCCCATTAGGCTGTTAATCTCTTTGTGGGAAAGATTATTTCTGACTTGTCTGTGTACCTCCAGCATCTGGTGCTTAGTAGGTGCACAGCTAGTGTTTGATACCTCAATAAATTAGTGTAAAAATAAATGAAGAGATCTGCTTCCCAAAATCCAGTACTCTGCTAAAAATTGATTAGTTATTTGTCCAATTCCCATCAAGAGGAATGATACTTAGCTGTCAAAACTCTGGTTGGGATCATGAAAATCGTACTGTTAAAATCTTTGGTTAAGCATCTCTTTACATCCAAGTCTCTGAGTATGTATGTGCCAAAGCATTGGTGTACACCGAAGAGACTTAAAATCTTACACCTTCCCTCTGACTTAAAGCTGTGACATTACTCCCTATGGCGTGCTGTCCTTCCACTGCCACACCCTGACATGGAGTCCTGCCAATCTTTTCCCCAACTGTTCCTGGAGCCACTCCTCTCTTTCCCCACCACCTCCTTTCAGGACAGTAAGCAGTCAGAGACAGGAATCCCCTAGGAGCCGAGACCCCTCCTCCTAGCCCTCTTTTGTCACATCCAATTAACCATCTGCCAATCTCCCGGGTCTCCTTCTAGACCCACTGTCCAGCTGCCAACTCAATACTGTGCCCCCACCCATAGATGCCCATTGTCCCTGGGCTGAGTAAAAGTATAAAAGATGGAGATTTTAGCCTCATCCTTAGTCCCTGCCCATCATGCCTTAAAATAATTGTAAGTACAAGTTTAAAAATCATAATCCGATGTAGCTCTGCACTGTTACCAAAGGAAGGAAGTGGGGAGAGAGGGAAGGGGGGAGGGAATCAGTTTTCATGATTTTGAAAATAAAGGGATTCATCTAACTAGTAATATAACCATAACAGGTTATACATGAAATATGTCATACTAGTTATAATACCATATTATATTACTAGTAATATAATACTATTTATATTACTAGTAATATAATACTATTTATATTACTTTTCATAATATGAATTTCTATTAACATGAGCCATCTTTTTTTTTTTTTTGGAGACGGAGTCTTGCTCTGTTGCCCAGGCTGGAGTGCCATGGTGCGATCTCAGCTCACTGCAAGTTCTGCCTCCTGGGTTCAAGTGATTCTCCTGCCTCAGCCTCCCAAGTAGCTGGGATTATAGGGGCCCACTGAAAAGCAAGGATTTTTTTTTTACCCATTTTACAGGTTTATAAACTAAAGCTTAGAGTTGTTACAGAGTCACAGAGCTACTAAGTTCCTGTTCCAAGATTCTATGATTCTGGAACTGGTCTACACTTAAGGAAACTCCCACCTCCTTGTGTTCTAGGGAAGATAAGCCCAGTCCCCCACTTTGGTAGAAGCAACACCCAGATTCCTACTCCCCAGTCCTCTGGAGGGCTGTGTGAGGCTACTGAGGAACCTTTGATGAAATAGGGCTTTTGATCTTGGGTTGGCCCCTGAAACAAGGGGTGGAGGGAATGTTTGGGCAAAGAAAGAGTATGGCATCTTCTCTTTTATGTGAAGGATTCCACTTCATGGAGAAGAATGGACAAGGGGCTCTTTCATGGGCCCTAGCCTGTTTCCACTTTCTTCTAAGACTCCTAGAGACACTATGGAAACTGAAATTCATGAGCAAATCCCATCACTAATACAGCACCTTGATGGCCAGGCATGGACCCCTCCTCAGTAGGTTGCCCAGATACCATCTTTCCTGTTCCTCCCTCTATCTTCTCCTCACTTACTTCTTCCCCCACTTGCCTTTCTAACTCATACACTGTAGAAGGCAATTCTGCAGACCCCACTACAGCCTATGCAGTCCCACCTCCACTTGCAAAAGAAAGCCACCAGCACTTTTAAACAGACTGCTAACTTTAGATCTCCCAGCCTTGCTTCCTTGCTTCTCTGCCCAAGAGCCTTCTAGGGCCACAACAGCCCAGCCCAACCATTTCACGGTTGCCTCAGCTTGTACTACCCTTCCCAAGCATGGCACTTCTTGAGTCTTCCAGCCAGATAATGCTCTCTCTGCTGGACTGTCAATCTGGAACATTGTGCTCACTGGTCCTTGCCAGCCAGCTTCTTCACTGAGGTCTGCCTTCCCTCCAGTGTCCAAGAAAGCAGCATCCTCCTCTGGCACAAAGCTGACCTTGAGATCCACCCCTCCAGGCTCATCCAGGATCTTTCTCTATCAATTATTTGTCTCTTTTCTAGATATTAAGTCTCTTCCTCATGCCTGCCTTCTCCCTCTTCCCTATCCCTAAACCTCCCCTCAACTCTGCTCCCCATCTCCAACTACCTTTCTATTTTTAATCTTCTCTTCACAGCCAAACCTTTCCAAAGAGCCATCTATATGCATTCCCACCACTTCCTCCCATGCGCTCACTCTTCATTCCCCTTGGAATTTGAATTCCACCTCCCATACACAAATGAAACTGTTATTTCAAAGATTACCAATGATCTCCCAGTCTCCGGAACCAATGGTATTTGCTCAGTTCCCATCTCCCTCAATTTCTCTGCAGCATTAGACCCTTTTGATCACCTGTTGTTCCCAAGTATTGCTCTCTCCTGATTCTCCTCCAGCCCTTCTGCATCTGTTCTTCTATATCCCAACTGTAGAAACCCCTGTATCTATGGTTCTGTCCTTGGCACTCTGCCCTTAATTCTGTGTAAGCTTTTCATTTATTATATCATCTATTTTGATAGCTCCAGTCATAACTTCTTTCAGATAGCTCCTACATCTGTATTTCCATCTCTGGCCTTCCTCCAAAACTCCAGATTCCCTTCGTTATCCACCTACTGAATCCACACCTCCCTTAGCTATTTCACTGACACCTGAAATGCAGCATGTCCCATAGCAAATCCTCCAAATCCCCCCTCTTTCCCTTTCTCCCCACAGCTGCTCCTCCCCTTCCCAACTCCTGACTTTCATTAAGGGCACCTCTGTTCTTCCAGTCACTCAAATTCTAAACTTTGGAGTAATGTTGGGTTCCTATCTATTTCTTGACACATCAACATCCAAGATGCCAGGTCCAATAGACTCCACTTCCTGAAATAACGCCTATCCATTCCCTCCTCTCCATTTCTGCTGCTGCTTCTCAAGTTCAGACCCTCCTACCCTATTGCAGTAATCTCCTAACCCATCCCCAGCCAACAGTTCCTCCCCTACTCTAATGGACCCTCCACAGGGCTGCCAGATTTGTCTTTCTGATCACGTCACTTTCAGCAGCTTCCCAAAGCCAACTCCAGAAATGGCCTTCCATTCAAAGCCTTCATGATTTAGGAGCCCAATAAATGTCTGATGAAGGAATCAACTAATCAACCTAGTCGTCACCTCCTGAGTCTCATCTCCCATTGATCCTCCACCAGCCTCCTCTGAGCCACATAAACTGGACCATTTACTGCCCCTAAATATGCTGTGAATATTCACACCTCCTTCCAATGCTGTTTTACCTGGGATCACACTTTCTGTCTTCCCCATCCAAATCATACCCAGATCAAGAAGAAGTAGCTGCTTCCTTAAGTGCACAGAGTGTCTGCCACTTTTCACTCTTACACTTGTTTATCTGTTGCATCCATGTTCCCTAACTAGTGTCCAGCTTCCTTTAACAATGCCATGGGGCAGATGAGGAGGAGACAAAGCTAATTATCCTACAGTTTCTTCTTTACCTCCATGAATGAATTCCTCTGTCCACCCAGCTGATTCTTTCTGTTCCCTCACTCCTAGGCAGACACAATTTCAAGCAGCTCTATTGATCCAACAGCTCTGTGGCTGTCAGTCATTTCCTAGTTATTTTTGCTGCCAGTCATTCATGCACAAAGGAGCGGCAAGAGGAGTATGAATGCAGACACAGACACAGAAGGAGAAGGAAGGAACTGATTCTCTGTGTGCACTTGAGGCTCAGCAGAAGCAGGAAGAAAGAACCTTCTCCAGGTAGCATCAAGCTACATGGCACAGGACCTGGACAGGGGCTGGGGCACTGGCATTCTTCTACTTATGCAGGGGAGGAGAAAACAGGGGTGCCCTGACCTGTAAGACAGTGCTCCATCCAGTCCCCTTGGGAAACCAAAATGAAAAGAACGGCCTCTCTTCCTGGATTGGAGAGGTCCCACGAAAGTCAGATTAAATAAGAAAATACTTGTAAGAAGAGGCACTTAGAGTAACAGAATGTTCAATTTGGAAAGATCTACATATATTTGGATAGCACTGTACAACTTATAAAGACTTTTCAGATATAGTATCTTATTTGAGTCTCTCAGCAGCCCTATAAAGGAAGGGTCAGGGCAGGGGGGCTATTATCCTTATCTTACACAGATGTTAAAGTCACTTGCCCAAGTTATTCTTATAAGTAGAGGGCAAAAGAGAGTGTTTATCTCCTGCTCTACTGTCTGACCTTCTCAGCATTCTTCATAGACTTTCCCCTCCCCTTTTAGCCCCTTATATCCAAGTGCTCCCAGAGGGGGGGTTATTTATATACATTTCCATTCCTGTTCTACATTCTTTCTTTTTAATGGTTTTATATACTCCCATAACATGGTACATGGTGATAGTAAACACTCAATAAATATTTTTCAAACAAATCATTAAATAAATGAATGAAAGAGAGCCGAGGTCCAAAACCTCGCCTTCCGATGCCACACACAGGCTCCCTGCACTGCATCATGTTGCCTCTCTGGCACCCTCTCACATCCATGTCAAAAGCCCTGCCCAGCATGCCTTCAAGAGACCTTCAGCCTCTGGCCATCACATTCCATTAATAATTAAAACAGCAGGAACAACAGGGATAACCAGGATTTCTTGTGCTCCTACTGTGCCAGAGACTGCTAGATGCTCCATACATGTTTTCTTTTTCCTACTTAATCCTCTCAACCTGTAAAACAAGCTTTATCAGTCCCATTTTGAAGATATTGTAGGATGAGAGATATTAAATAATTAATGCAATATCCTACCCCTAGTTAGTGCTGAACCTATTCCATCCAAAGCCCATCATCTTCTGGCTATACCAGGGTTTCGGCATTATTGACATTTTGGAGCTGGATAATTATTTGTTGTCCTGTGCATTGTAAGATGTTTAGCAGCACCCTTGACCTCTACCCACTAGATGCCAGTAGCAAACCTCCCAGGTTATGACAACCAAGAAAATGTCTCCAGGCATTGCTAAATGTTCTGTGATGAGGGGTGGGAGGGGGAGAATTGCCCCTGGTTGAGAACCACTGGACTATACCATACTGCCCACTTCCAGCAGTAAACTGTCAAATACCAGAACCAGAGAAAACTTTGAAAAGTAAAAAGTGTTCATTTTTCAACATCTAAGAAGAACCTCTAGTTTACCCATTGCAGTGTTTTATTGATATTTACAGTCAGGAAGATTTTCTTACTTCTCAGCTAATTTTTTTCTGTAGCTTCAGTTTATTCTAAAACCTCCTTTCATCCCCCAAGGGATTATCAAATATGACTGGACAGAATGTATCAGTAATAGAGTTACCAGTGATTTGTGCACAAGGATGAAGCAAAGCTTGACAAATCTTACAGAGGTGGACCTGGATATCACTGACATGTTCTAAAATATATTAATAGGAGAAACAGCCTATAAAAATACATTAGAAATATTAACAACGTTCCCTCTCCAGAATGACAAAGTCTTTCCCATACTCCCCCAGAGGCTCCTGAAAAATGGTGTGAACAAAAGCCCAATTCATAATGGGTGAAAGTGGAGGAGATCAAGAACGGACAATAAGCATTAACTTAAGCATCATGTTTATACTCTGGAGCATCAAGTGTAACTTAAAAAAGAAAAAAAGATGTTTTTCCTTTGCTGCAAAAGAGAGTTCAGGAAGTAAGAGACTCCTCCCTTTTCAGGTACCTGGCAATGTACAGACTGAGTGGTGACATTTACTCAAAGAATTACATACAAACATAGAT